AGTCGCTAGCCTTCTTTAGACAGGTTTTGCGTCAGGAGTTGACATATGAACGAAAGATGAGTGTCTGGTTCTATAGCGTCTTCCAAGGAATCTCATATACGTGGAGGATCGGGCCATTCGTCGGATCAGCCATCTATTTATGGTCAACCTCACTTTTCCTCACGGTGAACCTGTTTGGCTCCCTCAAACCCTGTCTACCAGGGTAGTATGGCTTCAGCTAACCAGATATTTCACATTTTACATCACTAATGCGAAGTCGAAATAACAATAATCCGAAGCACGTCTGAATCAATAAAGTTTCATCATAACCAAAAAGACTGTAACTTGCCCCGCAGTCCGAACTCCCAAATACGAGGCGATGACTCTCCTGCAGTTCTAGAACTTTAGATCATACCGTATCACCTTTAATATTCTCCCCTCTAGGCTAACTCTGATAACAAAACCGACTAACCTATACAACACTTGTGTACACAATCTACGAACAGAATGCTCATCGCCGTAGTCCCCGCTTCACCCAAAACAGGCCAGGCGGCAATCCACGCCCTACTCAACTCAACCCAGACCACCAAGCCTATCAGCGTGAAAGGCGTATACAGGGATCTCTCTCGAGTACCAGAAGACTTCCTGTCTAACCCTCATTTTCAGGCAGTCAAGGGCGATGTAAGCGACGCAACGAGCCTAGATCTCACCGGCGTGGATGCTGTTCTCGCCATCACCCCTCCGCGATACGATGGCTCGGACATTCTGGCTTGTGCAAGGACGGCATCCGAAAATACGCGTCTGGCCATTCAGAAATCGGGATCTGTCAAGCGTCTGGTCTTGCTTTCTAGTATGGGGGCTGAGCATGAGTCGGGGACTGTGGGTTTCTTTTCAGTTCAATTGTGACGAAGAAAGGGAGATAACTAAAGATGCAACTAGGGGGAAATCATGACGAACCACATCGCTGAGACGATCTTGAAGGATGCAGCGCCAGAGGTCGTCCTGTGTAGATGTGCCTATTTCATGGAGAACTGGGCCATGGCGGTTCAGACGGCGAAGTCTGAGCATCCGCATTTGTATTCATGCATCACGCCTGCGGATTTCGAAGTCCCTATGGTTTGTTTCCTTTTTCTATATTACACACGAAATTGTTACGTTAACCAATAACCGAAACCAGGTTGCCGTCAAAGATATGGGCCAAGCCTTTGCAACTTATTTACTTCAGCCTGATGTCCCGGAAAGCCCCTACGTTGTTGACGTCCATGGACCGAGTTCATACACTCCGAAGGATGTGCAAAAGGCCTTCGAAGAAGCTGTTGGCAAGGAGGTTGAACTCCGACTTGTCGAGAAGAGAGATCTATCGCAGTTCTTTGCCGGCTTCCTCCCAAAGAATGTAGCTGAAGCTTTCACCGAGATGACCATTGCCTTTCTGCCGGGAGGTATTATGGCGAATGCTAATGCGGAGAATTCAACCAGTGATCGAGTGTGGAGGGGAAAGACGGAGTTGCGGGAAGCTATTCGGGAGCTTTGTGAAGGGTCTGGGTAGGTGAAGGCCATGCGGGAACTGGTAATTCATTCTAGACTGCTGTTGGGACTGGCTATTTATCTTCTGGAGGTGTGAACTGAATTATCTGTGGATTAAATTGTACTATGGGTGCAAGTGATTCACAAAATTGCTTGGTGTAAAGGTATAAATTAAGTCAAAGGCCGGTATAGGACTCTTCTTTACTAAATAAGCCTATATGACTACCACTTCCCTTAGAAATGGGATTCTCGTCCTGTTTAATCAGTGGGTGATCGCAGTAGGCGATTTATTACCGTCTCGTGGATACGACTCGTCGCTGTCCGTTCTTTTCCTTCTCCCTCTATGTACTTCAAGGGCCTTAATGGGCTTCAAAGTCACAGACTACTTTGCTCCTCCTATCCTGGCCACTGAGCAGCTCAGCCGTAATAGATCGCAGATATGTGTAGCATCCATCATGCATTGTCTAGTTATTCTGTGCATGGTGTTCAGATGAGCACAACAGCAATGATACAAAGGACTTATAGAGTATTATTGCCAAATTCTTCCCCAATGCATATTACACCATGATGTGGGAATACGCACAAAGGCGAGCCTTGAAACGATCATACCCCACAAAGTGGAGGCGCTTTGGCATCTTAGCCTGCTAAGGATTGGCTCAGCCACCTTTATTTCCAACTAGGGAATGCTAGGCATCAAAGGCACCAGATATCCCACATATTCGCCATGATAGAACGGACAGTAAAGTTCTGGTATTGCCTAGTTCCTGTCTCAGTGTCCATCCCTGTGCATCAGCAGAGTCGTCAAACAAGACCAATTCCGAAAGCTTCTGTTGGAAGACGTGTAATGTATAGAGTATTGCTATCTTCTATACAGCTTTGGACACGATAACTCAGTTGCTGCACGCTTTGCACAAAACTATTATGTCGGGCTGAAGATGAGGTCGAGAGCACCATATATCGCAGCTCTGGCTACACAAGGCCACGAACACATGGCAGTATTTATGCTAGCGGAGCTACCATCACTTCATAAACTCCCAGTTACATCTGGAACCCTTTCCGGCTGTCGCTCGATATCATAGAAAATGAAACCTCATGGCAAGCCAGAATCCAGGCGAAGTTGCCACAAGATGTTTTGACCACGAAATCGCATAGCAAAATCAGTCCATAGGTACTGCTCGTGCTTTATTTCAGCCGACAGCAAAGCTTTAGGAGTGGGGATTACAAAAGAAACTAGATACCAGCAATCACCTAAAAGCTCTACCCGAGGGAGAATTGATCAATGGCCTACTCTTAGATTAGAATCTAGGTGAACAGAGAGCTTAACTTACCTAAGACAAGATGCAACATGGTAGATTTGCAAACTCAAAAGACCAAGTTAAAGCCGCGATTATTATCTCAATAAAGAACCCCCCCTATAACAACATCAGCGAGAGATATGAAGATACACAATCACAGACCAGGAGAAATTCGCGATACCCCCCAGTAATAGAGCAAAGTATCACACTCTCTCGCGATTTAAACGGAGTCGACATGGCCACCGGCGCAAGTATTCCTTCGGGCACCCATGGGTTATGATAGGTCACATAAATCATGGGCGTTGAAATCGAGAGTGCCAGAAAGAGATAATAGTTTCTGCTCCACAGGAAATGATGGAAACCATCATGTTTATCCAGCTATACTCAATCTCAAATTATAAAACAATCGTAGGGCCTGGTAAGACAATATGGCAGACTGCGACTCTGCGAGCAAGAAGCGGACCGTACAACCGGGCCGAGGAACGGTACGAATCCAAGGCAAAAAGCTCCGCACAGATGATATGCATATCCCATGCATACGGGTCCAGGGATCATCATCGTTCATACGTCAAACTGCAGCCGAACCCTCGGCGATACTCGGCAATTGGCAATTATGACAGTTTGTTGCGTTATATTCATATTGGGCGACACCAAGATGGTTACTTCCCGTGGCTCCTTACCTAGCATTTACTCATCTACCCTCGTTCACTCTTTGTGACGTGGAGCCTTGCTTCGATCACTGTTTACTATTAGCTAATCCAAAGGATGATGCGAGAGGCTTATGCCCTCGGTCATCTTGGTCAACTTTTGGTTCTGACATAGATAGCCGAGCTGGACGGTTTCTAGGGTTACTACTATTCCAAGATAACGTATACCATGAAGTGGTAGTTCAGCATGCCGAATACTTTCCCACGGTCTAGATTTTAATAAATAGGTATATAACAAAAAAGAAATAAGAAAAAAAAAAAAAAAAAAAAAAGAAAAAAAAAAAAAAAAAAAAAAAAAAAAAAAAAAAAAAAAAAAAAAAAAAAAAAAAAAAAAAAAAAAAAGGAAAGGGAAAGATAGTATAGAATCTGGTTGCCCAAACGTCAACGTCGTGACAGTGCCAGTTTTCATGCCTTATCAGAATATGCGGTCAGTCCAGTTGCTCCTGCTCGCCTGAAATCTTATCTATCACACGGGCCTACTGTAAGCCACATGGCACGAGTTATGCTTGGATATTGGTCGTATAAAAAAGCATATCTTGGATTCCCCGCAGTTGGAATTTCTTTCCGCGCGTCACACTCGTAACATCCGAGGTCCGTTACGGAATAGCGACAGACAAGGCTCAACTCTGATTTTATGCATTTGGGCACTTGATTGGCTCTACCGTCTATACGAGAATGTCAGTGGACGAAGACCCCATCCATTCAGCGGTGAGGTAGTAGTGACGACCCACTCAATGACAGCTGGAGCTCACTTCCGTGTGGGGAGGATCTTATAACGTGAGTTATATATCCGCCATGAAGTCCCAGTGGTGAAAAGCTATCGTCGTCCCCTTCTTTTCCTGACTCTACCTGGTACTTTGAAACGATGATCTTCGAACCGTCGTCGCGGGTGCCATTGCCCACCACCGATGTTATCTCCTACATCTTTTCCGATCCTCCATATGACCATGATCAACCCGTATTTACCTCCTTCCCCCATCGGTAGAAAACTGAACATAGTCTAACTGGAGCAGATCTACATCGATGCGAGCAATTCCTCGCGGTCGATATCCTACAACCAAGCTCGAGTCATCGTTCGGAAGTTGATTGCCGGCCTGCGTGCATGGGGCGTACAGAGAGGCGACTGCGTAGCCATCCATTCCTTCAATGATGTGTGTTTCATCCAGCCAGACCAGACCGCCTAAATAATTCTAATGGGAAGCCTGATGCATAGATCTACTATTCTATGTTGGTCCTGGCGATCAACGGCGCCGGCGGTGTCTACACCGGCACCAATCCCTCCTACACCCCCATGGAGCTCGGACACCATATCAGAGCATCGCACGCCAGATTTATCATTTCTGAGCCGGAAATCATCGCCCCGATCCACGCGGCCATGAAGGAGACGGGTATTCCAGAGTCGAATCTGTTGGTATTCGACGTCCAGGGTCAGGCTGTTCCAGCGGGGCTGAAGTCATGGCAAACACTGTTTTCCGCTGGAGAGGAGGATTGGGTACGATTTGATGATCTGAAAACGTGCGAAGAGACCGCCGCCGCCAGGCTGTTCAGCAGTGGAACTACGGGTCTACCCAAGGCAACGACGCTCACGCATCGCAATTTCATTGCCCAGCATGAATTGGTCTTTGAGATAGAGAAGCGACCGTACCAGGTATTTTCCCTGACACAATCAACTCCATCTTGGAGACAAAGCCATGAGTTCGAATCATATTGACCATTATAGATCCGCCGACTCATGGCCTTACCCATGTTCCACGCCGCTGCAGCCCCTTCCACCCACTGGAGTCCGCTCAAGGGTGGCCATGTCGTACACGTAATGCGTCGCTTTGACCTGATGGGTTTCGTCACAAATGTCCAAAAGTATCAAATCACAGATCTTGCGATAGTGCCGCCCATCGCGGTCGCCCTTGTCATGAGTCCGGAGGTACAGGCGCGCCCATACCTGAAAAGTGTCCGTGTAGCTTCGTGCGGCGCTGCTCCATTGAGCAAGGAAATACAGGAGAAGCTCCGTGTCATGCTGGCGAAGGATGCGCCCTGCACACAGGTTTGGGGCATGACGGAGACATGTTGCATTGCGACGAAATTCGGAGCCTACGAGCAGGATGACACGGGAAGTGTGGGGAGGTTGATACCTAACGTAGAAGCCAAGTGGGTTTATACCTTTATTCCAATGTTGAATCTTAGTGACTGACCGGAATCAGGCTAGTGGATGACGACGGGAACAATATCTCGGCGTACGGGGTTCGAGGCGAGATTTGCGTCCGAGGACCTACCATAACACCAGGATACTTCCAGAATGCTGCTGCGAATGCCTCCTCCTTCGATCAGGATGGCTGGTACCACACTGGCGACATTGCGTACTGCGACAAGGATACTCTGAAGTGGTACATCGTGGACCGCAAGAAAGAGTTGATCAAAGTTCGCGGGTTCCAGGTCGCTCCGCCTGAACTCGAGGCCGTTCTGCTCTCGCATCCGCTCATCGTCGATGCGGCAGTCATTGGCTTGTCCGGTGTGCTTCCCGACAGTGAGCTTCCGCGGGCTTATGTGACTCGACGTCCCGGAGCAGGCGACAAGCTGACGGAGAAGGAGGTGCAAGAGTATCTTGGCCAGAGATTGGCGAAGTACAAGGCACTGACCGGGGGTGTGAAGTTTATGGACGCGATTCCGAAGAACGCCAGTGGGAAGATTCTCAAAAGGGTCTTGAGGGAGGAGGCCCAGAAGGAGGTCGAGGCGGGCTTCCGACCGAAGTTGTAATATTATTCTCCTACTGATGTTTGTATTTCGCTAGAATACACTCTAGAGTCAATCACACCACGTTTAGCCCACGCCATGAATGTTCCGGACCATTCACTAACATCTCATAAGACATGAACTACTTTCTAACTTGCCAAACAGAGGTAAAGATATAGTTAAAGATATAGTCCAACTCCGCCCCAGGTAAAGATAAAACACCCAGCCCTCCATATACACCCTCTCACCAACCGATATATCCCCCAAACCACCAGTAATCCAACACCAAAACACCATCCCAAACTACCTACTCACTCCCAATACCTTCTCCCTCCTCATCCACACTTACCATCCTCCCCTTCGTATCATTCCACCTCCAAACTCCCCCATCCCCAACATTATACCTATAATAATTCTCCGTCCCCCCAACCACCAACGCCCTCCGAAACGTCACATTAATCCTGCCCTCACTCTCCCCAGCCCGTTTAGGAATACTATGTAACCAATTCGCCTGCGTCTCCCCCCTCATAACAACCATATCCCCACTCGCCAGAGGAAATTTCAACGGCGGTCCCGCCTCAACCCCCGGTTTATGTTTCAACAGAAAATCCCTCTTCGCACCGAGAGACAAAGACGCAATACTAGGGTTTGGACCGAGGAATCGCTCATCGTCAGAATGATAGCTTATACTATCTGTATTGCTTGCATAGTAGTTGATTAAGATGAAATTGTAGTAGTCTTGTGGGGTTTTAGTGACGGATTGGATGACTTGTCGGAGATGGTCTAGACATGGCGGGATTGGACGGGGATGGCATTTGTATTTGCTCTTTGGGATTGGATTGTGGGTTTTGGTGTCGAGGAGGGTTGGAGTTGGAGTTGGAGTCGTGGTTGATGTTGAGGTTGTGAATGTGGAGGTGGCGTCCACCCCGAAGACGGTTGTGAACCTTGGTGTGGTTATCTTTGTTGGTGTTTTTCCCCGGCGGATTGTGTATTGGACTTTGTAGAAGGGGAGGGAGGTGCGGAGGAAGTGGAAGAGAGTGTTGGCTGTTTGGGGTGGGAGGAGGGGCTGGAAGTAGAGGAGGTCGAGATGGGGGTGGTTGGTTATGGGTTTGGGGGGGTTAAGGGCGGTGGAAATGTTTGTTAGGGCTTTGGATAGGTGTGGGGGAAGGTTGGGGATTGGGAAGGGGTAGGTTTGGTGGTTTGTTGGTGGTGGTGGCGGTTGTTCTTCTTGTTTTTCTTCTTGTTGTTCTTGTTCCTGTTGATGAAGTTGATGTTGTATATTGAGAGGGTTTGAGGGTTGAGACGGGTCAGGTGAGGAAGGTTCCAATTTAGGTTTCTTGGGGATGGGTTGAAAGAAAGATTGGATTCGTTTGGACATGGTTTTGTGTATTGGTTTCTTGTGTTGGTTTTGTGAATGAGAACTTATCTCAAATTTATATGGAATGTAGCAACAGGAGCATGATGTCATATGGTGATCTCATCTGCTGCATGTTAGGGCTAAGTGGTTCCTTGGTTCCTGATCAGCCTTATGGATATTATCAGATCGATCGGAATGCGGCATATTATTCGTCAATCGGGAGAACACTTTAATTTATTCTAATGTATAGTTTAATTTCGGGAGGTACATTTCTACTATGCATTATATGTGGTATGTAGATCTTATCTGACAATAATTCTTCGTATTGCTCCCAGGGAGATAAACCTTGTTACAAGGTTTGGTGCGAATATTATACTATGCCTATGAGCCTGAAACCACGACACTGTAGGCGAGATGGCAATGTGAGGGATATCTTACTTCATAATCTGCCTGATACTCTGTCAGGTCGATGTCATGGCCGGCACAGCGATTAGCGGTTCTTTTGTACCCGACATCCAATCAATTGACGTAAAACACCTCTTCGTTTACTTGTGTCTAGTAACACCAAGCTAGTCGGCAGATTCCCAGGCTAAAAAAGGTCGTTGACCCCTTGATTGAAGTTAAATATGTCATAGAGTCTGTGTAAACTGTGGGGAAATGAATGGAAGTAGGATTACGGATTGAAAAAGGAGAACAGTCAACAATTCAAAGATATACGCTTCTTTAAGTCTAGGGTGTATGAACGCGACAAAGTAGGGAGAATTCAGTTCGAGACAAGATACATGGCAAAATTAAATATATTGATAGCCTCAAACAGGGGTAGACGAATTAGCACTTTGAACAGTACACTCACGCATCAAGCAGTTTGACCTCAAGACCACCATATCTTGCTTGCATTAAGCCGGGCCCACAAGATAAACATGGTTTTTGAACATGCAAGAAACACAATGGACGAGACCAAGGAGAACGAAGTATACCTCACCCATCTCACAAGATACTAAGAAACTATGAACTGCTCACCCTTCTCCATCCCACCTGTCAAAATCCTGTCGCTGTTCGATTCATCATGGCTCAATCGAAACACATCATATTTCTCATCATGCCAATCTCTAGCACTGATCACCCGGCCCTTGCTATCCCTATATTGTACTACATCCTCCGCTCTTAGAAAATATGCGATACTATACCGATGCTCCTCTTGACGACCAGACACATTTGCGGGCGTAACCCGGTGCACGCATGACTTGAGTACATTACCAGAGAGAAACCGTAACGAGTCCCCCACATTGATGACAGCATGGTCTTGCTTTGGGGCGACAAAATTCCACGCCAACGTTTCAGGCGAAAGGACCTGCAAGCCCCATTGCTCACTAAAAAGGACTGTGAGGGTTCCGATGTCGGTGTGCTTATTATGGCCGACCTTATTATCTTGCGTCTCTTGCTTCGGATATCGGAAGAGGGACAGTGTACTTCGCGATTTCCCTTCTGGGCGATGTTTATCCTCGAAGCGCGAGCCGGAGCTCAGATCGAAGACATCGGAAAGCCGGGCGAGAATGGTCGTGGTGATCGTATCACAGGCTCGGATGAAGCGGTCAAAGAGCTCGATATTGTCTTTGGCGGCTTTGGGGAGGGATGCTGTCTTTTCGTACATTACTGAGCGGGCAATCTGAACTGTGGTTAGCCATTTGTATAAAGGTCTCTCTCTCGGTGCTTATGCTCACCTTCAGGGTCTCGTAGAAGTCCAGTGTACCATGGACCGCTCCTGCCGAGGTTCCGCAGGGCTCATAGCTGCTTCTAGTTATTCGAGGAATTAAATTACGCATCGCTCATCTTACCCGTAGGTATCACTGCGACGGTCATCTTTCATCTTTGTCATGAGATCCTGGCTGAAGTATTTCTCCATGATGCGAAGAACCTGTTGCCAGTCATGTAGAATTGTTCCAATATTCTTGAGGTTCAAGTAGAAGAATCCGTAGATTTTGCAGGCCTCCAGGAGTCGCTGGGTCTCGTCAGCATCTTTCGCTTCGAGGCGTGCATAGTCGATTGTGGGCAGGGGAGCAATAGACAAGTTATTGTGGGTTTCAAGGGAGCTGGGGACTGAAGACATAGTGCAACTATACTATGCTTGTACTTGAGAGGAATAAAATATCTTTTCAAGAATGTCATCAGGACGTAAAAACCCCCAGAAGGAAATAGTTCTCTATTTGTGTGCTGGTACTAGTAGTTCCGAGGTGACTCGATATGACATAGACTGAGAGTCATAAGATCGATGATTGTAAGAGCCTCTTGCCATGAAAACAAGTGGTAAGCTGCCTCGAATGTTCGACTTGTTCAACAGTGGCTCATAGAGTGATTATTGCCAGCGATAGGGGCTCTCGACCGTTATCCCCATGAACTACGAGCCTTGGCACTTGCCTTGGTGTCACCTTGGTTTCCTGGTTATCATGATCAGAAGATTGTTTGCTATCACACAGGTTCCAGCGTAGTGCTACGTAGCTCGGCCATGTCATACCCATCGTCGAGGTCTGCCTTTCAGTGTTTCTCTCCGGGGGGAGGCCATTGTGCGATTTCACCAACTCCAGTCAGGGATGGAGCTTAGCCACACAGTCATGTCAGAAATGAACAATGGTCGACAAAACCCAACACGGCTCTAGGAAATGCGTATTTCATGCATCGCAGGGCGTGGGAAAGTGACACGGCCTGTGCGCATGTCAGTCTGAAAGGTCTCACTGAGGGAAGATACGTATCACCGCTCGTCATGGTCTTGCCACAGTGACAGATGCCATTCATTGGAGAATAGCATGTTGAGAATCATATCGCGCTGGCATACTCTAGAACGACCGTGTTCGTGCACCACTCGATCATGACCGATTAGTTCAACCACATCCCAAACACCGCTGATCGCACGCAGCTAGACTCGAAACGCCCAAGCGCCAGGGTCCAGAGCAAAAGCCATGTCCCTGCGATTAGTACTCCGTAGTTCCTTTTTCGACCCTGTATAACCCCACCAGATTCTGTACTAGTAGCACGGAGTACTCGTTAGCTGCGTATGTCTTGTGTGGACTAGTATTTGTCCAAGCGCACAGTGTCATCGTAGCCTGCACTAGTAAATGCTTGCTTTTAAGCAGGAGATCGACAAGACATAGTCGACGATCTGTTCTAATTTCTTAGAGTTATCGTGAAAGGATCATTAATCATTAATCATAGCCTCGTATTCGGGCTAAAGGCTGCGTCGGCGATCAGACTAGGGGATTTATCAGGCAGATCAACACGATGCAGAAGCCGAATGATTAGTGAAGTCAATCAAGAATACTCCCAATGCCAAGCAGATAATCATTCTAGTGCCGACTTTCAACCTACACAATCCCCGTCAACGTTACCTTCAGCATGGCTTCTAGATGAACTCTGTCGAGCATATCTCCTCGGCCACCAACGACGCTATTGTCAACTAGTCATACTTCACAGATTGAGTGTTTTTCTTTATTTTTTTTTCCCCCTTCAATCATCTGATATGCAAGAGTATTGAATAAATTTAATAATATTAATAATTGTAACGAGAATCCAAAACACCCCCAAAACAAATACGAGGCGACCAGACCAGGCCGCCCCACCGAGCCAGGCCCGAACGAAGACCGCCAGGGACATGATGCAACAAAAAGCAGACAAGCACCGTGACAAATGACACCATCCACTAGTTAGTAACTTAGTTAGGGCTGTTGAATCCGGATCCGTCTTTCATATGATTCTATACATAATCATAGACTGCCTAGGACGACTGCGTAAGAATCATCACATAATTACCGTAGTGGCAACACCCCAACGCAGGCCACAACCCCAATCGATGATCAAATTAGGTCTTACTCGGAGATACATGTGTTTCAGTTCTAGACCTTACACAAAGTTTCTCCTCGGATACCCCCGGGGTCACAAATATCCCACATGTGTCAATGACATCAAGACAATATAAACAAAAAAAAAAAAAGAAAAGAAAAAGTAAAAAAGTCAGAGAAGAAGTTACGTTGGGTGGGCATACGAGGATAAAGGCGGAATGAGCCGCGGAGTTCCGCGACGCAAGTGATCCGTTTCAAGGTCGCCGAGCCAACAAAAAATTAGGGCCGAGCGGAATCGCCTCGGAAGACGCCGTCTCTTTCACGAGGTTGCCGGATATTGCTTGTATATTAAACTAAATTGCAACATTAATACTCTTAATTTAAAATAAAAAAAAAAAAAGGGTGCTTCTCGGATAATTGCCACATGGCGTGGAATCAATTTTGTCGCATGCCGAATAATGCGCTCCACTGCTGGTGATCTTCGTTCGCTAGATCATCCTTCGTGCTGCATAGTCGATTTACTTTGTTGGTCGGACGCGTTTTGTTTTTGAAATAGTTCAGAGGTCTGTTCGCGTGGCGATCTTCTGCAGCGAATCTTCTGTTGTTTTTCTTTTTGGGGGCTGGATTATGGATTATGGAGATCGTGCTAAAGATTGAGCGGCGTTCGGCATGGCAAATCCTATGCATCCTTGAAGATTTTTTGCCTCTAACTCGAGGGGCAAAAAGTGATATATCATAAACCGTATCTCTATTTGTAATTGAGAGGATGTGTTTATCAACATTAGACACATCCAAAATGACATCACCAGGCCTCGAGAAGCCCATCGAAGGTATCAAGCTTTGGACCTGTAGGAAATCCTGTATAAACAAGCTCCACAAAAGAAAAAATATGGGAAAAAAAAAGGAAAAATCGGGAAAGTTAGTCGAGTATGCATACAAAATGCCCCACCAAGGATATCTATTATAGAACGAAAGAAGAATGAAATGAAAATAGAAAAAAATAAAAATAAAAAAAAAAAAATAAAAGAAGGCGCGCTAAAACCGCGTGTGATGGTCGGAATGGCTAGAGGATGATTCTCCTCCGCCAGCCAACACCTCCACGGTTTGCGATACGTCAACGGTCTTATGGATCCCGCCATCGCCGGAGGCGCTCATATCGACTGTGCCCGCGTACGAAATCAGATGGCTCTGGTCGGATCCAAATTCGGGCTCGGTTCGGGACCCCTTCGATCCGATGGTGGAGAATCCCTTGCCGTTGGCGCCTTTCATTTTGCTGAGGTGCATCGAGGACTCGTCCCGGTAGTACTTGTTCGAGCCGTAGCTGTAGCCGGCTTTCCGGAGTTTGTTGATCAAAATATTCATCGTCGGAAGACAGGCGCAGATGAGGCCGACTCCTCCTTCCGCGTTACTAGGGGAATGGTTAGCTTGTTTCTTGTTTTTTTCGCTCTGGTGGAATGCTGAAGAGGTGGAGACGTACCCTGACAGAATCACACACGTAAACATTACTGTAGTATTGGGCGTGCTGCCCTCTTTCAAAACCAGAATCAGTCGGTAGACACTGAAGGCCGTGGCGAGTCCTCCAGCGGACAACATGCCGATGACTCGGAGCTTCTTGCTTCGCGACATTTGGAGCGACCAGGTCAGCGGCAGCGGCAAGATGAGAATCATAAGATCGGTCACGACGCTAATAACCGAGTCGGCAATCAGGGCAGCTTGTTGATCGAGACAGTTGGCCGGTGCCCCAGTCCAATATGCCGGAACGGGGTCACACATGCGAATTTTGACAATCTCAGCGATGATGTAGTAAATGGTCAGACATCCGAGGAGAACATAGATGAACATAATCCGGCCCCGGTATGGCGCGAAGATCCGGATCAAGATGGAAAGCAAGGCGTATTTCACAAAGAGACTCATGGGACAGTAAAAGACGGTTGCGATATAGCAGAACTAATTGGTCAAGTCAAGATCAGTATAGCCCGAACGTCATTCCATGGGCGGCGGCCTTGAAATACCTTGCGGTAAGTCACCTGCATTGACTCCGGGACCTCTAGATAATTTACACCTCCGCCATATTGTCCCACTGATACCATTGTTAGTGTTTGTGAATTGCAGCGTATCAAAGGGGGGGAATGTCGACTGACAAACAATGGCAATGGCGCAGTATGCCATGAACAGAATCTGTTGGACGGTTAATGGATGCCTCCCCCGTAGGACTTTGGGGTACTTGCCCATGCTAGGAAACAGAACGCTAGATTCAGGTTAGTCACCGAGGTATTTCAACGATTTGGAGATGGCACGTACTATCTTCGACGATAACGAACTGCTTATACCAAAAGCGGATTCCAAACCGCGTCGCCACGAAGATGGTGACAATCGGAATGCACAAGCATTGTGTAATGAGGTTAATTGTGTTCAGGGAAGACCCAGGATGAGTTTCGGTCATTGTTGATGACAACAATGGAGCATTATGGAGGCTCAAATGGAGAGGAAAGAAAAATAGAAGGAATTCAATGTGGGCGAGTCCACAATATATCGATGGCCCTTAACCAAGAGCAAGAGGAGCAACTCCATCGATCGTTCTCATGCATGAAATGTCCCGCTCTGATAGGCTACGCTGGGGGGGACGTCCAAGCGTTTGTACGGAGTAACAAATATTCGGGAAATGCTTGCGAACTTCCGGAACATTGACTGTTCAATGTTAAGGTATGGTTGAGGACCCGCCACCGTGTACTGCATTGGAAAAAAAAAATCTAGTTCTAGCTTGGCCGGCAGGAGGCAAAATGGGGATGTACAACCAGATCGATCTTGATAGGTGCATCAACTTCCCCGGAAGACACCGGCGGGCGACCTTCGAAGGGGAAATGATAGACGCCACCGAACCATGGTCGTTTCATTGAACTCCATCCAGTATCACTAGCGAATACTACGTCGACACTCGGTGGAAGGGCAAGACTTTTGGTGTCAATTCGGCAATTCATGGGGCGCGGGTGGGGCGTCTATTTCACACTACTGTAATGCTGCAGTGAACAGCAACGCCAGCAGTTTGGTACGGGTTGAACTTCCTTTTCCCCCCTTTTTACCTGCTTGGGATTTAGCAGACTTGGTATAACTTACTAGTCGATATTGCTATAATCGGTGATGGTACAGAGTAGTGCTAGACTAAGTGGTCCAGGCAGCATTTGAAAAATTTCAGGGCGGCGCACATGCCACTACTCCACGAGTTCAACTAGGCAATTCGTGCATTGGCTTGCTTGGCTAGCGCTATTAGAATATGCTTTTTTGGCTACTACTACTATCGTGAACCTACTAATGCGCGATAGGGATGCGAAGGGCGACGAGAAGAAGAACAGACTCCAGAGAGGGAGAAAAACGCAGGGATCAGCGGGAATGACACCACGACCGTTGGCAAAAAAAAAAAAAAAAAAAAAGAACCCAAGATCCAAGGCGAATAAGGGGAAGTTCGGAAACAATTTACAGAAAGCTGCCATTGGCGGTTATCTCATTCTCGGTGGAAATGAAGCCGACCAGGGTGGGTGAAAGTGTGGTTCATTTGGCTAACCCTAAGTGACGACCAACACTTTAACTTTTGTCTCGGGTGGAGCACACTCGACATGCCAGTCAAGGTTTTTTTTTTTTTTTTTTTACTTTTTCTCCCCTACTTCGAAACTTCCTCTTCTCTCAGTCTATGACTAATGCCATGCTGTTTTGATTACGCGCGGATACTGTGCCGCCCAATGTGTTTGGTGTATAACTCTTAATGATCCCTCGGTTGTTGTTGTTCCACCATCGACCTGGCATTACTCCGTAAAACCCTTGGCTGGCGCGACACCAAGAGTGACTAGATAGTAGAGCCCTCCTTTAGACATCACCGTGACCAGCCAAGTTGATATGATTGGGCCTGCGAGAAGTCTTCTCAACATACTAGCCTATGATAGTACAAGTACAAGTGACTGCCTCGGAAGTCTCTTCGTCTTCGAAGGTTCAACCCGCGGGGCCCATAATGTCATCGCCTCTCATTGGAGTTCCAGACATTGTCTGGGTCCATCTGTCAACCCATTTCGGTCATGAGCCGTTAGAGAGCAAAAGAAAAAGGAGATTTGATCGACATTAGAAACGAAAGGGGCGGAGAGGTGTTCTTATCGGTCGCCAAATAAAATCCCAAGAAATAAGTATCCAGTCGTAGCTCAAATTTGGGTCGTTCCATTGTCATCGTCTTCTGTCTTCCACTTTCCTCTTATCTTCCTTCCCTTTTTGACAGGGATCCATGCTATATACCTTTCTCATTACTGTCAAACTTTCTGACGTCTCTTTTGCTTATTTCTTTTTTTAAATCCTTCCTGCCCCACTATGACTATTCGCAAGCTGGAAGGCGAAAGCTCCAAGCTCTTCCAGCCGCTGGACATCAGCAATGGCAAAATCAAGCTTAGCCATCGCGTAGTCCATGCGCCAATGACCCGCAATCGAGGCGTTCCTGTGAACGCCACCAGTACCCCTGAGAATCCCAATCGGACTTGGTATCCGGGGGATCTCATGGTTGAGTACTATCGGCAGCGGACGACCCCCGGCGGGCTGATCATTTCGGAAGGTATTCCGCCTTCACTCGAGGTATGCTCTAGTAGGATATCATGCACCTCTTCCCCCCACCCCCAAAAAACACTGCGATAGGTAGAGACAACAGCGTGGGGGAATTTCGTGATAGTGAAAGTAACACATTTGCTGCCTATCTAGAGTAATGGAATGCCCGGAGTGCCCGGTCTGTTTACCGAAGAGCAGATCGCTGGCTGGAAAAGAGTGGTGGATGCAGTCCATGAGGAAGGGGGCTACATCTTCGCTCAACTGTGGCATGCAGGCCGTGCCACCATCCCCCAAATGACTGGGATCCCAGCGGTCTCCGCCTCGGCTACGGTCTGGGATTCGCCGACGGAGTGTTATTCTCATCCCCCCGTGGGATCGACAGAGCCTGTCCGCTATGCGGACCACCCGCCGATCGCATTAACTGTCCCACACATCAAACAGACCATCCAGGACTATTGTAAAGCCGCCGAATGGGCCATGAAGATTGGCTTTGATGGTGTCGAGCTCCACGGTGGAAATGGATACCTTCCTGAGCAATTTTTGAGTTCCAATATTAACAAACGTACGGATGAGTACGGTGGGTCGCCGGAAAAGCGATGCAAGTTCGTCCTCGAGTTGATGGAGGAGTTGGCAAAGACCGTGGGCGAGGAGAACTTGGCCATCCGTCTTTCACCATTTGGATTGTTCAACCAAGCGCGCGGTGAGCAGCGTGTGGAAACCTGGACCTTCCTGTGTCAGACCTTGAAGCAGGCCCACCCCAAGCTGTCGTATGTCAGCTTCATTGAACCTGTGAGTGTCATCCTCTGTCGCTAGACGACTATTACTAAGAGACATAGCGCTACGAACAAATCTTCAGCTATGAAGAGAAAGATAAGTTCCTGCACAGCTGGGGTCTCCTCGACGTAGACCTCACGAGCTTCCGCAAGATCTTCGGCGACACCCCCTTCTTCTCGGGCGGTGGCTGGAACCAGACCAATTCCTGGGGGGTCTTGGAAGAGGAACGCTATGATGCCCTGCTATACGGCCGGTACTTCACCAGTAACCCGGATTTGGTGCAGCGGTTAAAGAAGGGTATTCCCTTCCAGCCGTACGAGCGTAGCCGGTTCTACGGGCCGTTCGAGGATAACGCTGTGTGCTATGTTGACTATCCCCCTGCGGAAGCTCAGTAATTTTCTAGTTTATGATTGAATGACCTGTTCTTATTATAGAGCAGTGGGGACGCGAGAGTTGGGTCTGTATATACCGTTGATCTGGTGATACCCTGCATTGTTTGTGCTGATTGCTGCAAGCGGATGTATATTCCATGCGTTCAATTGTATAAACATTAATGGAACAGTGCATAAAGGAAGGTCATATAAGGCTGTATTCGGCCGAAATTTGTGTAGATCTCTCTAGCAAGTTCAGGTAAACTCAACTAATGACGAGGCACATGCCCAAACATGATCAATGATCAGCACACGTGATGTTGCATGCAGTTCTTTGTTCGTTTGTAAACATTCTTGTAGCTCTTTGCACACCTTTGTGAAGCCTTGCTTATTTTAAACCCTCTTATCATACCTCCATCCTGGACAGATTTACAACCAACTCATTACAATCATTTTGATCCTTAGGGCTCTCATAACAAGGTCTTTCATTAATCATCCATATCATTCACATCATCCACAATGCAGTGACGTCCTTGTCACATGCACCCACAAGGTGGGTCAGGCTCATGAGTCTTAAAAATGAGACCTGAGTCTAGGTAACCTGGGTTAAGATCATGTATACCCTAGCTATCAAGAGGTCTGAATCAGAATTCAACAGAATGGAAGAACCCACAGACGCTTGAATTCTATATGCGTCGGACATACGGAGTATACAACCTTTATATACATGTGACACGAAGTCAATATGTCTGGGAACAACTGTTAGGATTGAGATGCAGTCCTCAACAATCTCATCCTCTCTGAAATAGGTCACCAAGGATAGACCCGACAGCACATCCTTCCAATACATAGGGTCCTTACACACTATTACTACATCCATGCGCGTGTAAGGCAAAGCTTTGCCAATTCGACAAGAACAAGGAAGACATCCTCAAGGTTGATAGTTTAACTTATGTTAAACTTCCCAAAATTGCGTCTCTTTCGTGCGTAATGTTCGGGTGCATGTGACAGAAAGACTGGCAGAATCGTCTGTCACGTTCTCAAGAACTAACCTTCCCTCTCGACCTCCGTGTAATCAAAGCTTTGTGAACTACAATGCACAGAGCATTCCAAACTAGAGGCAAGGCACGCAACGAGACCGGCTGCTAAGAACCCGTATATACACAATGCTTCCAGACAGCCTACGGTCAAGCACTTCAGCCGTCGTATCGATTCTATAGATCGATGTCCAGAAAGGGAATTCCGGGGCATCACAGCGTCGCCCCAGCCGGACAAGATGTAGGTCAATGTGGAAATCAACTTGGAATCGGCGATGAAGACAGTGGTACAGAATCAGGAATGTTTGGGGAGAACGGGGAGCCGGACGACGATGGTGTAAACCGCCAAATTTAGTATGTTACATCAATTATTTATCTATCCAAAACCGAATTGGTTACATGAGTCACAGCTTTCGAGCCATCATAGCTATCCGACGCGTATGCAGACGGCACCGCGAAGATTTATTCTAGTGATGATAACCATGTGGAGGAGATGGAAGACATCACATTTTGAGCGCCCTCATAGATTGCCATGAGACACAAACCGACCGTGACATGGGATCCCGAGAAGCTTGTTGTTCATTATAAGCTCAGTTAGGGTTACCGCATGCTACAGATGGCAGGTCTATGGAACAATTATACAATCATCCCCTTGGCCTCAGGTTGATCTGTTGTTCAAGAGGCTGATGGGTATGCCGGCGCAAATGCTCTGGATACAGCACCGCATGCATCCTGATATGTCACACGATTAAGCTTTGTCTCGGGTCTGTCTTGTTTACAGAGATATATACCTCATTATAGTCCATCTACGTGTTTATTTCCCGACATATGGGAAGGCGTTATGGAACCATCCATCACTATACCTCATTCCCAGGGCAGGGCGCTGCTCTACAACCTCAAATGGTCCCCCGATGGATATATAGCAAGTACTATACGTGGTAGGAATCGGGTATTATTTGCTATAGACGTACTACTGAGACATATTTTGGAACACTCGACAAGAGACTCGGACTACGGGAATAGGAGGCTTTCTCGAAATTGAAGTTTGCTTCACAATCATGTATTGGATCTGATCTTATATGCCAGCCTCTCGTGGGTTACAGCGATAGGAGTCTATTTGACCCTTCATGTTCTTGGTGATCCCACAAAACATGAAACTCAGCTCATCCACGGTAACCTCAATACTACCATGCACCGAATTGATACACTTCCCATCTTGTAACTATCGCGTATATCCACCACGGGATGATGAATCCCGTCCGCGAATGCTGTACAGAATGCCCCCACCATGAAAATCATAATAATAATAATAATAAATGAAAATATATAACTATTTTACTAGCGCCGAAAACATTAAATACGGCTATTTACCTAACCAAAAACTACCGAGTGGGGAAGAAAGTGTCAAAGGTACTCGTATTTCGAAACAAGGGGACTTTCTCTACGAACTGTCGAATCAAGAACAAGTGGAAGGACCTTCTGTATCTTTGTAAACCTTATTAAGTTGTACGCCATTCTTTGATCCATGTTGAGTGCAGTTTAATGGGGGTGGGATACTCTGTTTCTGAATTCTGATATCACGATCTCGTACTTCCTGATGATGAAGTTAAGGGACCGACAGTTGGATCTCACCATTTTTGAGTCGATAGACTCGACTATCCCTACCAGATGAAGAAGGTTCCTAAATGCCGGGCCGTGAAAAAAAGAAAAAACGGGAAGCGAGACAAAAGGTTCGCTCTACCAGACATGTAATATAAAAAGGTTTTGATCTGCAGATAGTACCTGCAGAAACGTGAAGAGTAAGTTTACCGGACAAAAAGCCACCTTCAAAGTAATTTTTCTCGCTTTTCTCTGCCCATTTGCTAAAAGGTACTGCCAACTATGGAATCCCTTCATTCGTTATCGCCATGTCAAATAAACTCTGACCCAAAGATCGAAGTGGGCCGGCAACCACGATTAGAAAAGAAACGTCAAACCATGGTACCGGCTCGCTCCAAGGTCGTAGCATTGTCTGTTTCAGGAAGTTTTCATTTACCCCACCGTCGCCTACTTGAAGCTTTTTGCTGTCTGTGCTCGGTACCAGATTGAAGGAGCCGACGGCCCTAATCAATGAGCGTCTGGTTTTCCAAAAAAGAATCGTCGACCCGTTGCCCCGGATAAGGCATACTCCTGAGTCTAATCTGCCAAATATCCAACACGGACTTCCAACTTTGAGCCAAAAGGGACAATTATGTACTACTGACTTACCTGCTTCGAGTTGGGAGGACGGAGCGAACTATAACTGTCATTGGTACGCTGGATATCTATTGAGTCTGGAGAGTATATAACGCGTTTGAGAATATTCTACTGTCTGCTCGACATCTTCATTGTTTATTAGCCTCTTACCTTCTTCTCCCAGTCTTCTAGTACAGTATGTCATTACTATCCGAGTTATGAGCGTTCAACAAATTCAAGTAGAAACCTCTCCCCTGAATTCCATTATATCCGACCCCGGGGAATTTCCATCTGTAATTTTGCACGCTACCTTTCTAGCAGGCATCTATCTCGAACGTCCCTTGTGGGAGTTAAAGTGAGACAATACGTGAAAGTATGATTTTGAAGTTTGGGCATTGCCGAAAGGAGCTGTCTCGATATCTCAAGGATATTGACTGGGATTGATTGACATGGTGAATCTATCAGATAGACTAGAGAACCATGGTGGAAATGATATATTCGACGAAGACAGGTGCAATGGACGACTTCAGGGCAATGAGGTTCAACAGAAAGAATAAATTAATGTCACGTGACTAAATGGTGACCTCGCCGCCCTACCCCTTCCGCCTGCCTCAATCATCAATTACCGGCAGAACTCCGCGGCAAGGGCCGAAACGCGGTTATGTTTACAGATAATCCTGATAACCGCTGGACAAAAGCCTATACTACTGTCTATTAGCTGAGGTGGGCTTGTGCGGCGTGGGATACTCTGAGAATCTATCGAATCAACGTATTGTATAATTACACTTATCTGGGGGAAGATCACCGGGAATGTCCTCCCGGATTTTACGGATGCTGTTCAAGTACATTACAGTAGAAGTTCATGGTTGAACAAAGACATATATGTAGCTGCAGGATGACAGTGTACATATTAATCCTGATGTGTAGCATAAAATCCACAGATTTTGTTATCAAGCACTTTATATCTTACGTTCGTTGTTTACTCAAGTAGGACACTTCAGTCATGAGCATTTAATAATTAGTTCATGGTCCTCACAAGCAACTTTCTTGTACTCTGTACGCAGGACCTGAGGCAGTGTGAGGCAGTTCCCGTGACCGCGGAACGGAAGAGCCGGAAGGATGAGTCAGCGTCTGAGTCAGCAACGCGGAGAGTGCGGGGATTGTTGTGGTTGATGCCTTGGCCAGGTTGTGCCTATCGGTCAGTGACGCGAAGTATTACGTAGAGGAAATGAATTCAATTGGAGTATCAATTGATAGTTGGACCCTAATTAATATATAGAGAACTATAGAGAAATATAGAGAGAAAGACCATCAAGACTATTGGTTCTAAAACAGGGGAGGTATATGAAAACGGAGGTCGGGGACCGAATAGGTGGTGGTTCGTTCCTGCCTCAGGTTCTCCACGCGCGTTCCTCATTTTCCCGCCCGCCCACGTCACGGTCTGACTGATCTTTTAACTAATCCGCCGTCTTTCTCTCCCTCCCTCATTTTTCTCTTAGTCAACGTCCCCATTTCATGCTTCCCCCTGCTTACGAGATCATCCTCATCAGTCAGCAAAAATACACTTACTTTAGTTCCTAACAGAACTAAAACTAGTGAACTATTTTGACAGCGGCTGAATCATCATCGCCTTGGCTAAACCCCCGATAAACCAAACTATTGTACTGCTGCTGCTGCTTACCTCATCGCGTGTCTCTCCATTCCAATCCCTCTACAAACCTCGTCGATTGCCTATTGTGAAAAGACTGTGGATTCAGTCCGAACTAATCTGAACGTCCCCTTGGTTAAGCTTCAGTGGACGTGCGTGTTGCGGATTCTCTCGTCGCGTCTTCGTGTTTGAACCTCTATACTCTCCATGCAGCCTACATTAGCTCCAGCGCCGCATCCAAGCATGCAAACATCTGCTCAGGTAAGCAGCCTCCGGTTTGTCATCAGATCGCCTGTACCCCATTGCCCACCACTCCCATCCGAGAGACGTAATGGAACTCAAACCATGTCTGACGATGCCTCTCGGGGCTGGTGTCGCTCGCGTCCGCTCGGGGGAACCGATCCGGCGTCATCCAAGTTCCTCCGCGGTCGCGTTCCCTCAAGTACCATACAACAACCTATGAAATCATCACATAGACTAATTGCATCGATAGGACCATGCGGATCAGGGTAAGTGTCGCATTGTATTGGTTATGACGAGAATCCCGGGAATAAAGCAAAAGGAAATTATATGCAAGATGAAGATGGTTATCCGTGCGTCGCGTGCTGTGTGAAGCGACCTTGATCATGGATCGCTAGCTTTGAATCTACTACTTTTCCTAGTACATGCGCGGAGAAATGCTGACGCGCGTTGGTTCTTGAATCTAGTGCTCCATGATCAGCTTCTAGCGGCCCATCAGCACCTATCGCATCCGCAGCCACCGCGTCCCCAACCCCCTGCCGCGCAGCCACCGCACATGCAGCCCAATACAACAAGTCCTCGTGATCAGAACAACATCGATCCCGCGATTTCAGGTGCTGCAATGCTCAGCGGTCCGCCGCAGACACCTCCTCAGCCGGAGCCCACGGGCCAAGAAAGTCCGAAGACGTACGGCAAGCGACCATTGTCGACCTCTAAGCGCGCCGCTCAGAATCGTGCCGCACAGGTATGTTGGGAGTTTCCCATATGCGGGGGACCTTGCTGACTGGGGAACAGCGAGCATTCCGCCAGCGGAAAGAAAGCTACATTCGCAAATTGGAGGAGCAAGTGAAGGAGTTTGATACCATGTCGGAGGCTTTCAAAGCGCTACAGGCGGAGAACTATCAGCTGCGCGAGTACATCATCAATCTCCAGTCGCGACTGCTGGAATCCCAAGGCGAGGTGCCCGAGCTCCCAGGAAACATCGACCTGAGCCAGCCACGAACCGACTTGAATGTACCGCAGCCCGGTGCGGGGCCTGCAACGGCGTCTTCGTCGGCGCCAGCACCCCCCTCGGGAGCTCAACAAGCGCAGCCGCCTCAGGGTCCTGCGTCCAACGACGACATGAACTCCCTAAACCGGATAGCCGTGGCCGGCTTGGGGATGCGCAAGCATCCCAACGAAGAGGCTAACTACCTTGGCAACAACTTTGCCGCTGGTCGTCGGACGCGCCCCGACGAGACTCAAGCTGACTCGGATGCGACAAAGACGGAGCCACCCCCTCATGGGCTTCCCATGGTCTCATGATCGCATTCAGTTGTTGTCCTTTTCTCCAAGTTCCTGACCCTTGTGTTACCTCCAGATACCGCTGTTATCGCCTTTGACGCTGATTGTTTTCATCTCGTACTCTTTTCTTTGTATTATCCCGCTTTTGTGCTTGGGTGTATGGCGTGATGTTGTTACGTTTTCTTTATCTAATGGTTTTTGGAAGGGATGGTGTTCTGTTGTGCCTGGATTTCAAACGCCCAGTCCGACAGGCAGAAGGCCACTGTCTAATATTACTTGTGACCGGGTGTGGGTTGACTCGATAAATACATTGAACGGTTGGACTGCAAGTTCTTTCCTTTTGTTCTTTTCCTTGAATAGTTGCTGTTCAACACATCTATCATCTGCTTCTATGTACTACTCATCATATCCACTAGAGCACGGAAAAGAAAAATTACCTCAAACAAGATACACTCAATAGCAAGTTAAAAGAAGTAAATAGATCTGTACATGCATATCCGACCCTGAACCACACGATAAGATAGACAAGAGTATAACCGTTCATTGCTATTTAAAGGTCTAATTTACCCCACATACAACAACGCACCACACGGCACACAGCCTTGTCCTGAACTCCAGCCAACCTTGCCCACCCAGTCCCACTTGCCGATTGTTTTTACCTTCTTCATCCTTCTTTTATTTCTGAAGTTTAACATACCCTATCTGCTCTAGATTTACACGCTAGTTCATGGCAGATATCTCCTCTGTTTTTATATAGAGTTGTGGATCTCTTTTTGGAATGTGTTTGTTCGTGAGTTGAGAGTTGGATTCTCTGTGGTGAGATTCTTGCGTGGGGCTTTGCACTATTCTACACTGCTCTCTACAGTACTTACTCGATACTATATAGTTCACTGCATTGTATTGTACTGCCATACACTGCACTGCATTACATTACGCTACACGACACCGTACTGCCTCTATCAGGGAACGATGGCTCAGGTGACTGGCTCAGGTGGGGCCGAACTGCTGTATAAACCACGGCAGTATCAATATGAGATGTTTGAGGCTAGTTTGAAGGAGAATATTATTGTGGCTGTATGTTCCCGCCATCATTCTTCTTTCGTAGTTTTCTGGGGTTATCTTTTGTGTGAGATGGAATATGTTGCTGATGAAGGGTTGATAGATGGATACTGGGACGGGGAAGACTCAGATGTATGTGGAATCCATCCGTTCCATATTATCTCATCTCTTGTTTGAGGTGGTCGCAGTTTCGCCCTGGGTTGGGTCAATTTGATTGAATGGTTCTACGTAGTGCGCTTTTACGGATTGCTCATCAGTTGGAGGTGGTCGGGTCACAGAAGGTGAGTTTGCATTATTCCTCTTGATATGACATTGTCTGACTGCTCTTTGCTCTGCTTTGTTGTGGGCGCAGTTGACTTGGTTCTTGACTCCGACTGTGGCTTTGTGTTTTCAGCAGTATGAGGTGATCCGCAGTCATCTGCCGGCCGTGAGAGCTTGTACGATCACAGGGCTGGACAAGGTCGAGCGCTGGAAGAGCCAGTATATCTGGGATGAACTGTTGAGAGACAAACAGGTGGTAGTGTCGACTCATGCGGTTTTGTTCGAGGCGTTGACTCATGGGTTTGTCCGGATGTCCCAGTTGGGTCTGCTCATATTTGACGAAGGTTGGTGGCCGGTGTGTTCTTGAGATTCGACGTAGCAGTTGAGATTGCTGATGGTGTAGCCCACCACTGCATGCGACGGCATCCGGCGAACATGATTATGCTTGATTTCTATCACCCTACCTTGCAAAAGTACGGCAGAGACAGCGTTCCTTGCATATTGGGTCTAACGGCTAGCCCAGTGGTCAGGTCAAAGAGTCAGGAGATGAAGTAAGGGAAAACCACAGCTCCATCATTCTCTTTGCCTGGCCAGAGAACTAACCTCAAGAACCTTTGCAAAGAAAGTTAGAGTCGAATCTCGACTCCATCTGCAAAACCCCGCAAGTCCACAAACAAGAACTCACCACATATTCCCACAGACCCGAGTTACTGCCCATCATCTACCCAGCCATAGATGACGAGCCTGGCGGCAGGGCTCTGCAAGCCCTGGAGCACGCTTGGGATACGGCGGACAACGACGGAGATCCAGACGCTATACCACAAAACGACAACATGCCAAACGGGAACGGGGAGTACAAAGCGCTCATGGTACGAAAAACCCTCTGCAACGAGCAAATCAAACGTTTTCTGGATCGAAGCCGTCACATCTTCGCAGAACTGGGAGAGTGGGCAGCAGACTACTACATCTGCACATCCGTAGAGCAGCTGCGTACCACGATTCACGATCAGTCTTTAACCATGGAATGGGAAGATGAGGAGAGAGCCTACCTTTCAAATTTCTTATCCAAGTTACCAGTCGCGGAGGTCCAGGCTGAACTCTCAGATCTGAAGAACTTCACGATGTCACCTAAACTCGCAGCGTTGATAAACTTCCTTGACAAATTCGACGACCCCGAGTTTTCGGGCTTGATCTTTGTACAACAAAGAGTAACTGTAAGCGTACTGGCCCGTTTGCTTTCCCTCCACCCCAAAACTAGGGACCGATTCAGATGCGCAGCTTATGTTGGCATGTCGGTTGGCAATTGTCGTCAGGACATGGTGGGCGACTGGCATAATGCGAAGAAGCAGCGAGGGACCATGGATGACTTCCGAAGCGGGCGTATTAATCTGATTGTCACGACCAGTGTCTTAGAGGAAGGCATCGACGTCACGGCCTGCCGTGTCGTTGTATGCTTTGACAAGCCCGCTAATTTGAAATCCTTCATTCAAAGGCGCGGTCGAGCACGACAAAAAAAGTCCACGTACGCTATCATGTTCTCCACAGCGGACGAGCACGGCGATTTGCGCAGGTGGCAGATTTTAGAGCAAGCCATGGTCGAAGCCTACCAAGACGAAGACAGACGGCTCCGTGAGGCAGAAGCGCAAGAGGAAGTCGATGAAAATGTGCCAGAGATGATCGCCGTTGAAGCCACTGGGTATGATCTCCTTTGAGAGTAATGATTCTCTGACCACGTCTAACATCGTCACAGCGCCGTCATCACACCGGATTCAGTCGTCACACATCTCTACCACTTCTGCGCTGTGCTTCCCGAGGAACGCTATGTCGACAATAGGCCGGAATTCTCGTTCGAGAAGGACAGCCTTGGCCTTGTCAAAGGGACGGTGATCCTGCCTAGCTGTGTGCACCCGAAAGTCCGTCGCATCCAGGGAAAGCTTTGGTGGAAGAGTGAGCGCGCAGCGGTCAAAGAAACAGCTTTCCAGGCATACCGGGCCCTTTACGAGTTTGGCCTTTTGAATGACCACCTTCTCCCATTGACGAAAAACCCAGAGATGAGGTCGAATGATTACATCTCTTTGCCTTCGCTATTAGATGTGTCTGAGCAGCATGATCCTTGGACAGAGTGGGCCACCTCGTGGTCATGTCCAGATGTGCATCAGATACGAATCGGCGTGGAAGGTAACGGACATCTAGCAGATGGGCTGGTTATGAAGCTGATCGGACCGACAAACTTGCCTCAATTGGCTCCATTGACTCTTTTCTGGGATCGCAATACTATTCTCACATTGTCATTCGATACCCCAGAGCGTGTTTCGACAGTGAGTGCTGACTGCATCGCGAACATGAGGACAGCCACGGCACTTTACCTTCAAGCGCCTCGCGGCCGACGCGCGTTGGATAATCATGACTTTGTGACCTTATTTGGGCCTGACCTACCGAGTACGGAGTTGACCGACTGGCTCATTCAAAACGCAGGACATGAAACTGCCCATGAAGCGTACTCAAGGGGTGCTATGCCTGGTGCGATGGGAATAATCCGGGACCTTTCGCACTACGACGAGCCGTTCTTCTGCCATAGATGGGTCGAGTCCGACGCTGGCTTGATTGAGATAGAATGCAGGCCTATCCCACGTCGGAGGAATTTCTTGCATCCGCCGACTTTAGATAACGGGCAAGCCGATGCTGTCGTTGAGTCGGAACATGGTTCTGCTAAGGTGCACATGGTAGCTGCCGAAAACTGTACTGTCGGCAAGCTACCAGTGTCCACGGCCATATTTGGCTTATTTATCCCACACATTCTTGACCGACTTGAGAGTACATTGATCGCAAACAGACTGTGCGCAACCATTCTGTGTGATGCCGGGTTCGCGGACATTCAGCATGTTATCACCGCCATCACGGCACCATCAGCTCAAGGCGTGACCAACTATCAGCGATATGAGTTTCTCGGGGACTCTATTCTAAAATACATTGTTTCGTGTCAGCTTTTCTTCCAGAACCCTAACTGGCCGGAGGGCTTCCTCACCGAAGGTCGCACTACTATTGTCCAGAACCCACGGCTCACCAGGGCAGCTCTTGACGCTGGACTGGACGCTTTCATTATGACGAAGTCTCTCACCCCTCGCCGGTGGATTGCACCGCTGATATCTACAAGGCTGGGGGCCACTCCTGCAAAGCGACAGATGTCAGGCAAAGTGTTGGCGGACGTCGTCGAGGCATTGATTGGAGCCGCTTATCTAGACGGTGGCCATGCCAAAGCTCAGATATGCACGCATTGCTTCCTTCCAGAGATCAATAGACAACCCCTGGATATCCCATCTATCACCTCACCAACAGAGCCTGGGCGAACTGCGCACCACTTCATAGACGACAACTTGCAAGGACACCTTGGCTACAACTTCAAGGATGAGGATCTCCTGGTCGAGGCTCTCACCCACCCTTCCTGCCAGCACGACCAATCCACTCAGTCCTATCAACGATTAGAATTCCTCGGCGATGCTATTCTCGACATGGTCATTGTCCCAATCATCTTCCAATACTCTAACCAAATCTCACCAGGCGACATGACCCTCATCAAACATGCAGTAGTGAACGCGAACCTGCTCGGATTCTTCTGCATGGAATTTTCCATCGAACAAGACAAGACCAAAATCGAACGAACCGCTGACGGCCAATTCACTGTCAAGTCCGAGACACAGCACGTCGAGCTGTGGCGCTTCATGAGATTCAACAGCTTCGATCTGCAAGCCTCCCGCGATGCAGCTCTAGACCGTCATCGCAGACTCCGAGACCAAATTATCACCTCCCTCTACTACGGCCCGAGTTATCCCTGGCAACCTCTCTCTCAACTCTACGCGGACAAATTCTTTTCCGACATCATCGAGAGCGTTCTCGGAGCCATTTTCGTTGACTCAGGCGGGGACCTCTCCGCATGTGAACGCTTCCTCGAGCGGATTGGCCTGCTGTCTTATGTCAGACGCGTTCTGTCAGATGGTATCAACGTGACTCACCCTCGGGGTCTCGCACAGCGGTTGTCGAAAGGGGACGCGCTTTTTCATTTGAAGCGTGTCTTGGATGAGCAAGGCCGCGCCACGTACCGGTGCATAGTTACTATGAATGATGCCCAGATTGTCCTTGTGGAGGGTTGTCTGTGCGGCGAAGAGGCCGAGGTGAGGGCTGCTAATGAAACAATCGAGTTCTTGCAGCGTCGCCAGGAAGTTGTTTGATCAGTCAACCAGCCAGTCTGGCCCGCTTTAGCGACTGACTGGTTGACTGGTTGGATGGCTATAACGGCCGCTCTATGGGGCGATAGTATGTGTTGGTGGGTGGCGGGGAGACGAAGTGGATTTGGAGACCGGGAAGGCAGGGGATGTCAAAGCTTGGTGAATGAGTAAACGATGCGATAGTTATGCGACACTGTAATGTGATATTTATGCGACAACAATGCACTGGGATGACAAAGCGATGTGAAATGCTGCCATGCGACGTGACAATGATCATGATGTCATGATTTTGACTATGAAGACGGTGTTTGTATGTTCAGGTCTTTTCTTTAGCATTTTTTGGGTCAAATTTCAACAGATTTAGATAGATAGAAAGAAATGACGATGGTTTTCCCGACAGAATGTAACAAACTCCGTTGCGAAATGAGTTGAACACAGTAAAAATATGCACTATAAAGAATAGAAAAGCCCGCCCGAAAGTTGGAAAACTATTTATACAGAACGCCAACGCTTATGCTTTCTTCCTGGTACTCCTCCGAACTGGCCTTGTCTTCGATTCGGGCTCGGGCTGCTCTTCCTCGACCTGCTCTGGCTCCTTGTCGGCTGTGTCGGCATCGGAGTCGTGTGACTCGACTTGGTCATCTTCACTGGTAGCTACCATGACACCTTCGTCGGTCGCATCGCTCACCGAGGACTGGTTCTCCGCATCCGTCTTCGAAACGGATTCCCAAGCTCCACCAGCCGGCTGTGGTTCGTTCCGGATGCCATCGAGGACCTTCTTTGCCTCGCTTTCGACTCCATTCCATGCGCCGCAGCTGCCACACCGCCAGCGACCGAGTTCTTCCAACGATTTGATACCCGGAGGCGCCTGGCCGTTGACAAGTCGACAGGAGTTGCAGATCAAGACGATCCGGTTCTTCGGTTGCGTCTCATCCTCCCCGAGGAGGACATCCATGAGTCGATCATACCAGTGTGACTGCTCGATATACTGGGGCGCACTCGGGAATGCGTTGGGTGCAAAGCCCGGCTCATCAAATGCAGGGCCTGGAGGAGGTACCGGTTGTTGCTGGACCTGGGGCTGAGAGGGATATGGAGAAGGCGGCGCATGGAAATCGGGGGAGGGGGCACCAGGAGACTGGACGGGAGTCGGACGGCGAATATTTGCGGTTGGGGGAGGGGGAAGGCCAGTCCGTTGCACGGGCGGTTGTTGTTGCTGGGGATTTGAGGATTTGCGCTTCGATTCTGACTTGCGCTTGTCGTCGCCGCTTTTCGACTTGGTTCGTTTGGGGACACCTCCGTATTTCTCCAAGAGTTGCTGGGTGGAATTGTATTTTGTTGCGACCTTGAGCTTCTCAATAGTTTCGTCTCGTTGCTTTTGGAGATCATCGAGATATCGTTGGTTGCTATTGATGCGGTATTCGAAGTACTTGCTGCCTGCGGTGCGAACGGCGTAGATCCTGTTCCCGGATTAGACCATTGAAAAGGGGGGTGGGTTTCAGGATTATTCAGGGGTTGGGGCGTACACGATGGGACCTCCTGCAATAGCGGCGTATTCGACCACGCCGAAATTCTGCCATCCTAGCACCAGCGCGAGTATGATGGAGTAGAGGAGGTAGGCAAAGGTGGTGTATAAGGTCCATAGAGCTTTGAAGCGGCGGGCATTTTGGCGGTGAGTGTCGAGACGGGCGGTCGCGCGAGTGATTTTACCGGAGAGAGTCTCGAGCGCTCTTTCAAAGGAGGCTGGAGAGTTGTCTTCTCCCTATATGAAGAGATGGTTTCTTTGGTTAGTGGTTATTTGCCATCTGGAGAGGAACAAGCAGGCAGCCACATGGTGGACATACTTTGAAAGGCCACAAGGATACCATGGCGACTGGAAGGTATTGGTTTCAAGAGACGATTGAGATTGACGGCATTAGTGTACAGACATTGTCGGCGATGATTTGCAAATCCAATCTATCTGTCCCTGAGGAAGGTACTATAGTGGGTGTGAAGAGGGGAAGTGGAATGCAATCGATGAGGTAAGGGTAAAGGCAAGAGAATCTTTACTTGAATTGAAGCTCCCCCGAAAACGTCACGTCAGCTGCCGCGCACTGACCACGTGCTCCGTCGATCATTCATCTTTATTTAGTACATATCTTTTCTGCCCTGATATCGTCTAGACAGACATATGGTTCCACGGAGATGGCTTTCTGAATAAGTTCTGGCTTCATCTGCGAAGAAGAGTTGTTAGTTTTCGGATAATGCCATCTATATCACTTCGGCTCACATTCGGCCATGTGCGTACTTGCCATGGGTTCTGTGGACACTATGTATACAGTAGTATATCTCCTTGGCAAACTCCAGTGGCCTTTGTATGACGACAGTGACCTATCTCGAGGCATATTCCGCGGTGCACCTTATCTGTCCTAAAAGTCCCCAGGACCGTAGGTTGCGAGAAAGCACTACAGTCATTCAAGATTCCCGAAAACGGTGAGACTCTGCAAGCCTTAATATTGCACCAGCCGAGTTGCTTATCAAACAGTGATTGACGTCCCTACAATCATATAATATCGGGCCTAAGCCCGCAGCTCTAATATTGCATGAGAAAGAGATTGTACATGTTGAGAGGGGTACACAGAGCATTCTGATCGAAGCATCAGTGATCTGCCCCATCGGGTGAATCACCTTGATTAGCTACTTGAAGACATGGACTCCAATCACGGCCAAACCAGGCAAGGCTGTGGATAAAACCATTCATGTCGGAACATTGTTTAGCTTATTACGACTTAAGAGAAAATGAATTAAAAGAGAGAAGAAAAAGAGAGGCAGAAAATACTCTTCCAGATTATGGTTATCTAAAAATATATGCTACTATAAGTTTGGCACTATCGAAGAACTAACAGCGAGAAGCTGTGTAGAATATATAATAATCTGATACTCTACATCAAGATCTAGAGGGTCGAGAATGCTAGAAGGAACCAGATTTTCCCAGATAAGTATGAGTGCATAGATCCCAGTGTCTATCCGTTCGTGGTGTCTAACGAGGCATCTCGCTAAGCTCTTTGCAGTGCCAGTCCACGGTCCAGGGCCCAGTTTTAATAGGAATAGATCACCGGATCGCTGTATATCACATATTCTAGCTGGCCTTTCAAAAGTTTCTCTGCTTTCTAAATTAAAACTTAACTGATGTTGTTTAATATAACTACAGGGCAAAGAAGATCACATGATTGACGAGTATTCCCCGCTATCCCACGACTTTTCTTTCTTTCTCAGAACTTACTCTCTCCTCCTCTTCTTTTCTCCTCTCCTCTGCTGGATTACGGACCCAGCAAGATTCTCAGCCAGCCACTACACCACCGTCGCCAACGTCAACAACAGTTACACGTCCGACGCACGTCCACTGCCATCCTTCCAGGGTAGAAGCGGGGCAAGCTGCAGTAGCATTTTGACTTATTCTTCCGGATACACGGAGGGTCTATTATTGGCTCATAACTTGTCATCAACGTAATAGAGAGATGGACCATAGCGGCAAATAAAATCAGACTTCATAATTGCAACCGGAACGGGCCGTAGTAATTCGAGTACAACGCATCATGCATAAAAGCTGAAAACCTGTAAGCAGCCCTGTGGAGAGGTCTGTCGGGTCACCAGGCTTCCATTTCTCGTATAATTTCAGCAAACTCTTTGGAACCGAGTTATTGGCTGTCAATTCCATATTGTACATGTGGGATCAAATAGACGATTGGTTAGGAAAGAAGGAGTTCAGCTGCTGTACGTGACGTCTTAGAAAAAAAGGAAGTCTACGGAGTAGCGTGGAGACTGCTGCACCTACTAAAGCTGATTAGGTTATGGTGGAGACTGCATACAGCTCGTGTACATAAGTGGGACCGAATCGGAGAAAGGTGAAGCAATGGTATCCATGTGTTCTAGGCCTTGGACTAAGCTGCTCTAGCCCTACGACGACCATAGGGATGCCGACAGTTTGCTCCACGTTGGTCTATAATCCCACCACGAAGAACGAAGCCAAACTTGCCGAATCATGAGATTTTAGAAGGGTTAGACAAAATATAGTAGTTTAGCTAGCTGGGTATCGAGCAATGACCTGAGAAGTCGACTAACAAGGAACGTGCGTCCTATTGACAAGGTCATGCAGATTCTAGGGAAATTCTGTCAGTGTATTCTGCAATCATTGCCCCCAAGGTAAATATTGCTGCATGTGCTGTGGGGATATATGAAATCAGGATTCCATGACACATACAGTGCTATTGCCTGCAGAGAATGTCCACAAATGAACTCTGCATCTGCAAGACACACCACGTAAACTAAGCCATACTCTTCGGTCTTGCATCAAGGGCAAACCAGCTGCACTACGTGGCACGACAGCAGGTAAAACATATGAAAGTCAAATGGAACCTTCAGCCAGAGCTCAGCGATGAGACGAAATTCAAAAAATGTACACACATCGCATGGTTGAAGTGATTATCTAGTTAAGCTACATACCCTAGGCATGGTTACGAGCAATCGGTTATAGCAGTAGTTAGATAGGGACAGCTACCAAGCATATAGCACACAAAGAAGAATGACATTTGAGCCTTTGTCGGTATAGGCAATACTATATAGCATAGCAATTTGTCTGTGCATCTGGCCATGATGGCCGAGACTACTAATCCCTTCGATTAAGAGGTTGCACGTATAGCCAGCCACGGACTCCCTGTGCCGACACTCAACCAATTGATTATTTGGCGCATGCAACCAAGAGCCAGCTGCGGGGTTGAGAAAATACAACGCCATGAGGTATGTGATGAAGTCTACGTTGGAGATGGCCGGTTAGGAGACTAGGATACGGATTGAGACAATCCGTCTTCCCTGAGTTGAACATAAAAGGGCTGGTTTATCCCCCTACCTGAAGGAGTGAACCAAAGCAACGACACTCATACTTCAAAGAAACATAGTTCTAAGTATCAGTGAGATCACCATTTGTGGCAATGTCTACCCCTGGCGCCCAAGAAGTTCTTTTCCGTAAGTAAACGACAAGAGATACGAAAGCTTTGTGTTAACAGTGAGATAGGTACCGGAATTGCGGCGGTCAACTCGACCAACCACCTCCGTGTTTACTTTCAGGACTCTCATGGTAGTATTCGCGAGAGTCTCTATGAAAGTAATTGGGCCAACGGCACAGCAAAGAATGTCATCGCTAAAGCAAAGCTTGGTACCCCTCTCGCTGCGACATCCAAGAAGTTGAACAATGTAGGTTAAGAATTAAGTTTGGAAAATCCAGAAAGCTCACACAATTCAAGATCCGTGTCTACAGTCTTACCGAAGACAACATCCTTCAGGAAGCTGCCTATGATAGCAGCAAAGGATGGTACAATGGTGCGCTAGCTGGCGCCAAGTTCACTGTTGCCCCTTACTCCCGAATCGGAGCTGTCTTTCTGGCAGGAACGGATGATTTGCAGTTGCGTATCTATGCCCAGAAGATTGATAACACGATCCAGGAGTATATGTGGAATGGTAAGAAGTTCCGGACTCCTTAATGTGGGTGATGGCTTCCTAACATCTACGACAGGAGACGGCTGGAAAGAAGGCACAAACCTTGGAGCTGCGCTTCCTGGCACTGGTATCGGAGCTACTTGTTGGCGCTACACCGACCACAATGGTCCAAGCATTAGGTGCAGTCATCCTATACCTATACGCTAAGCGAAAGATCTATTGTTAATTCTCCTGCACGTAGAATCTGGTTCCAAACCGACGACCTGAAGCTTGTCCAGCGAGCATATGACCCTAATACTGGATGGTACAAGGAACTGTACACCATCTTCGACAAGGCACCTCCTCGCTGCGCAATCGCAGCCACACACTTCGACCCCGGTAAAAGCAGCATCCACATGCGGATCTATTTTGTCAACTCTGACAACACAATCTGGCAAGTGTGCTGGGATCATGGCAAAGGATATCATAACAAGGGAACCATTACGCCAGTCATTCAAGGCTCAGAAATTGCGATCATCAGCTGGGAAGGACCAGAGCTGCGTATGTACTTCCAAAATGGCACATATGTCAGTGCTATTAGCGAGTGGACCTGGGGCCAAGCGCACGGTTCACAGCTGGGTCGCCGGGCTCTTCCTCCAGCTGAGTAGACCTTTCGTTGGGCACGGGAGGCAATCGGCCATATTCAGCTCTGTCTAGTATCGAACACATGCTTGGCTGAAGAATACAAAATGGTCAACTAACCTCCATGTACATACCAGCGACTCCTTAGCTTGAGTAATACATTGCTACTATCATACTCTAAGCTGTTGCTGGGCCAGACGGGCATCACAATATATCATTGTTGTCGTTAATAAATTGCTAGTCAAATTGTACTCGTCTGACATCTTCTATGTTGCCACGCATAAACCTCAAATTAGCTCCGTGTCAAACCTTCGCCCAGTATCCACTAGACTGAGACGCCTATAGCACTTTCCTTACCCATATAATTTCAGGAATCCGCCTCTTTATACTTCGTATCTACTATAGAAAGGTCAAACACGGAGAGGACGTCATCTGAAGTGGCATTCGTGTCGGAGAAGGGGTCCAGAACCTCAGCACCGGAGTTTCATGAGAAGATCGCATACGTATTTTGGATGAGAATGGGAAATCTTTACCATTGGATATAACGTGACGCTGAATTGGGGAGAATAAGTAGCCAAAGGCAGGGACCACTTCCCAGGGAGTGATCGCGAGCCAACCAGAAGTTCTCCTCTTTGCCACGCGGATCCTCTCAGGGGTAGCTGAGCCATTCTGCTGGTATTGCATCATTCCTTACAAAGTACAATGCTAACGAGAATGGATCAAGATTGGGCAGCACTGGCCAATATATCAAATATGGAACTTGTTAGACAATGAGGTAGTGGAGAAAACGAATGGAATCTCACCGGGCAGTCCACTAACTGAAGCGCACGAGTAAGGCCAGCTCCACAGCGGGTCCTGGTCTCCTACTTATCTTGGTATGGGTTGTAATACCCGTAGGATCTGAAAGGGCCAAAGGATGAAAAGGATCAGCACTCAACATCTCCGCGCTGTCCGTCATAAATGACTATCAACTTACCTGCATATGTTTTATTTTTGAACTTGCAATATCGCTCGGCGACCTAATCGACCCTACACCGTGTGCGAAGAAACCCGATGGTGGAGCTGTTAAAACTCAATTTTCATTTGTCTTTGTCTGATCAGCGATGAGGTTTAATGGCGGGTGCAGCTTCCGGCACACAGTCGGGGACTACGAAACGCCACATAGCTAACGGCTAAAAGCCAAAATGTGACCTATATGACATTTTCCAAGCTGCACTAGCTCCATTTTCTTTGTTGTGATTTTGGTAGCTTAGGCTCATTGGCGGCCCAGGCCTTGCGGGGATTTTTGTCAAGAGAGGAGTAAGAAGTGAACCCTGCATGATCAACGTGTGAGCTTGTTCCAGCCAGGGTTACTATCCAAGAAGCGCCTAATTAACCCAATATATGAGTGCAGAAATTGTTTGGGCAGCGAAGGCTGTTGGCTTAGCCCTGCATGCATTGGCGCCATATACCCATCTCTGTAGAGCAGTTGGTCTCTATCAGAAAGCTATTTGGAAACTGATGCATATCAACATCAACTAGAGTTGTGTAATACATAAGCCGTTGAATGTGCCACTGTTAACGTTTGAAGGCGTTCGGGGATCGTACTTTTGTGACTCCATCGTTTTCTAATAGCTTAGCCACCCTATGCTGAGTTCAAACGTGTCCACAGGATAGGGTCATTTACCGGCGCTTCGCTCGGGATACTCTTTCCGGTGAGAGAACAGGGCACGAGATGTCCTGAGGGGAGCAGGGAACCATTGCAAATAGGCTAAGGCCGTGTTGCCATGTGGGGTTGAACAATTGCTATGGTCTCCGATCGCCATGCAGCTGGAGGTTCTCGGGGTCTGGCCCTAACTTAATTGGCTAAGTACAGCTTTGTCTTTCATAATCAGAGCCTCTTTGTCATGCCCTATATTGAAGGTTTCCCTGCATTCTTATACCCTGCATATTTGCACTTTATCTTTATTCAACCACTGCTCCCTTGTCGTGCCAATGAGACTTGATATAGTTCACTGGCCCCAATGCCTGTCGTTTCGAGTTAGGATGTCTGCGGTGACAAAACCTCCGGTCTTTGACCGTGAAACAACTCTGGCTGCCATCCCCCTCCTGGCTGTTGCCGCCTACAATTCCGTGGAGTTATTCTACTGGATCTTCAGCTTTTTTAGACGCTACCATGGCTTTTACTTTTGGAGCCTCTTAGTGACCGCATGGGGTATCATCGTATTCGTCACAGCCGTGATCCTTTCGTTAGCAGACATGGGGCCTCCAGCCTTGCGAAACATCGCGTACAGTTTAGGGTTCTTCACCGTGGCTACAGGCAGCGTTACGGTTCTCTACGCCCGTCTTCACCTTGTCACCATGGACAAGACTCCGCAGTATGTCCTGTTCCTCATCATCTTTACCGCCTGTACCCTGCATCTTCCTTTGAGCATTCTATACCTCATCAGGGGGTTTGCGGGGCCCACCACAAGACCCGCATTGGAGTCCTTCTCCCGCAAATACGGGCACTTTGTTATAGCCTGCTCGTGCGCACGCGAACTGCTCTTATCAGGCGTCTATCTCTGGGTTGCATTCCGAAACCTCAAGCCTATTCTGGACGCCAAAGGCCAGGAAGGCCGCCGAGTGAAACGCGAACTAATGATCATCAACATTTTTGTGCTCGTCTCGACTGTTTGTCTTCTGGCCCTGGATAATACAAATCATGAAGCAATCAAGCAGGGTTACGGCTCCATGGCGACAAGTGTTAAGCTGAAGATGGAATTTGCCGTTCTCAATAAATTGGTTAATTTAGTTCAGAGCCCGCTGCCTCTCAACCACGTCTCGTCTCTGCACCACTCCACCGAAGATCATTTCTTTCGAACCAACGACCCAGACGACCCTCCCGGTACCGATCAATGTCTACGATCTACCGACGGCAAATCTTCTCGCCCCATTGCCACTGTTGTCAGGCCTGTCTCGTCTCCGCCTCAGGCGCTCTCTAGTGACCGTCTTCTTTACAACAGCCCAGAGCGTAACAATACCGACGCGAGTTCCAGCCGCGGCAGAAGGCGATCCCCCTGGAGAAGAAGCCGGTAATCTACCCTATGTTCTCTCTGATCGTTATTGGCGGGCTCAACATGGACAGTCCCAACGGCCATACATTACCTATAATGAACCGAAGTACCTTCTTGGGCTGTGCCCAGCATATACTTACACTGTATGCCATGTCATGATATAGCGTCAACTACCCCTACATTGTACAGGGCCACGCCTCGAAAATCGCATATTGCATCATGATACCCTACGTCTCCTTGTTCTCTCTTGCTGTATAATCACTGTACTGCCCTCTGGTGGCTCGTTATACTATCTCTTATAATTGCATATTTACCTCAAAATATTAACCGGACAACATGGGGCTTTGCCATACTTTGTCACATTGCCTTTTCTTTTAATAACACCTGAAGCTGTCATTGGCTGGTGCCTTGGAAGGGAGGAAGCCAAGCCGTCGTGTCGTGTCTTTAGTATAGTAGTCTAGACCACAAGACAAGGATTTATGATACGAGAATACGTTTCATGTCCCCAATGGCATCAAATGTCACTGTGGACCGGTGCTTTAGTGCTGATGTCTACCCACATCCGAACGACCAATGGAGAAGCGTCAACGAACGCTTAACCCTAATCTTATTAGTAGTTAAATTGTTGCAGAAAATCCCTCAGTGGCAGAGGATGTCCTTGTTTCTCGCTTGTGATGCTCATCGTAAGGGTTCCTTGAGTGAGTAAATAAGCCATGTCTTCGATAGCTGCACACTCGGCATCATCGAGATCTTTCGCGCTATCGGTAACTGAAGATGATAGACTAAGTGTGGGCTCTGATATACATAGTGAGTGATCTGCTCCTGGTTTGGTTGCGTAAATGACAGCTCCCTTATATGAGTCAATGAGTAGGCCACGGTTCGGTTACCGACGACCTGTGCTTCTTATGTCGTCGCATCGATTTTGAATACGTTGGTTTCCACGACTCTCCTGAGTACTCTAGTAACCACTACTTCTTTCAAAGGGAATTCCCAACTTTGCTGAGTAGCTCAAAGACCTGTGTTTTCTGCAGCAAGCTCGTCAGTATTATCACGGATTGGTTTGCAGCGAATCCAGGAGATCGGACAAATGGACTTGATATCTCCAGGGCTCATGTAGTGGTGTCTTTAGAAACTGACTGGCATACCGTGACTCGAGAGCATGGCGACCTTGCCGAAGAAAAGGCACACTCGGATCGGATCCGGGTCACCTGCTCCATTCCATGGCTTGGTGCTGATAATGAAACTGAACAACCGCAACACTTAACATTCTTTTTGCAGAGATATGAAGGACCGTCTGATGATACAATCCAGAATGCCGATTCGAAAGTTGGTATTTCTCCTAAATTGCAGCCATACACCGGACGCCAAAGACCCCTAGTAGCAGATTTGGCTCTCTTCAAGCGATGGAAAGAGACGTGCCAGGAGATACATGGGGCAAAATGCTCTCAAATCTTCAAAGGGACCCCGAATATCCGACCGCGGGTCATCGACGTTGAGCGCAGGTGCTTAACCTTGGCAGAGGAAAATGATCAATGGGTCTGTTTAAGCTATGTCTGGGGTAGAGCGAAGACCCTGCGTCTCCTGAAGGAGAATATCCAGGCCTTCTCACAGCCAGGCTCTCTTTCCCCAGATGTTCTTCCTAACATTACCGAGGACGCTCTGCAGGTTACCAAGGGACTTGGGGAGCGATATCTCTGGGTCGACAGTCTTTGCATAATACAAGATGATGACCAAGACAAAGCCAAGTTTATCTCACGAATGGACTCGATCTACACTTTAGCCACAGTCGTTATTATCTCTTCGACCTGCACTGATGCCAACACGCCCCTTCCCGGAGTCAAACCTGGCTCGCGACGTCAGCAGCAAGAGCCCTTTAAGATTCGGGATGTCACATTAGTACAATCTCTCGACCCCTCGCTCGGCGTCAAGGTCGATCTTCGCACAAGCCGTGCCGCAGGGTATCTAGGCGAGACTATCTGGGACACGCGAGCCTGGACGTTACAAGAGAGGTTCCTCGCATCCCGGTCTCTTATTTTCACAGGCGAACAAGTCTTCTGGGAATGTGAAGAGGCGTTCTGGTGCGAAGACAGCTTCCGCGAGCTCCCAAACATATCCCCAGATCCGCATCGAACAAGCTTGTGTGCGGGCGAGCTGAACCTCTCGTGGAACTCTGATATCGTTACCTTTGACCATTTCTATCGCGTCCTTCTCGAAGATTACTCCGGTCGGGCATTATCATTCGATAGCGATGGGTTGAATGCTTTTCTTGGTATTATTGGAGCTTTGGAACGGTCTATAGGCGAGACCTTTTTCTGGGGTATGCCCACAGCGTTCCTTGAATCTGCGCTTGCCTGGGGTCATCGAAGTCATGCATTAAGAAGGAGGCACGGTGTGCAGACTTTATCCCAAGCTCAGAGCCAGTTTCCCAGTTGGTCATGGGTTGGCTGGACAAGCGATGGACAGACTAAACTGGCGAATCAAAACTTGACCATGGAGGCTCTGGGTCTTAGATTCTATCGTGGTTCCGAAGACGGGTCTACAATGATAGAAATGAAACAGAATGCTAAGTTCAACAACGAAGTCGACCTACTCGTCGAAGGCTCCAAGCTCCCAGATCGCTCATCTAGACCTCACAATGTCTCTATGGCAGAGCTCCCAACGAATCCATCAATCAGCCTTTCATCCCTCCTCTGTTTCTGGTCCGCATCCGCTCGTCTCACCGTGACAAGCCGCCACTCGGCTGTTGATACATCCGAAGATCTCGATTCAAACACCTGGGAAGCCACCCTGTCCCAAGGATCCGATAGCATCATCCAGGTATCCTGGTCCCACATCGCACCATCGCTAAAGCCAGGAGATACCGTTGAGCTTGTTGCCGTCGCGCAGAATAGAGGCAGCTGGGATGCCGGCCACATTGACAACGGAGCTATTGGAGCTATGCTTATCTCTTGGGATGCAAAGGGTGGCATCGCCACCCGGGAAGGGTTTGCGTGGATTGCGATTCGGGACTGGACCTCGTTGAGGGACCGGGAGTGGAAGTTAATTGTGTTAGGGTAGAGTGGGTTTAGCTATTGTGTATTTAGCAGTATTTCCTTTTTCATACTACTTCCTATTATCTTTTACAATAGCGAAGCCAGTTATCCAAGATATAGACTGCCTAGGATGATATAGCAAGGGGATGTCAGGGTAACCCTGCTATAACATAGTCCTTGTAGAGAATACAAGTGTTTACTATATTAGTCTTAACTGAATATGACCTGAGAATTAACTTTGAACAGGGAACCATTCAAAAAGGAATCGTATGTGTGGAAACTCATAAAAGGGCCAGTGTATACTGCCAGGAAAAGAAAGAAAGGAGGGAGCAATGTCACATAGGACCAGTCAGTTAGTTAAAAGTTAGGGAATAGCATCAATCTTCTACCGAGCCGAACCGGTGCGATCCAATGCGAATATATGTATATATATACATCTATCTGGATACGGATCGAGCTGGTGTGTTCCCTACAATACCCAGTGTTTTCGCATGTTGCAACCCACTCCCGTCATTTCAAGGCATTCCCGCATTCCACTAAACACCATGATCGACAGCCTCGATATTGTTCCCTGCGGGATCTAGCACAAAGGCAGCGTGATACTTGGGATGGTAGAACGATCGCAACCCCGGAGGGCCATTGTCCTTGCCACCGGCTTTAATCGCCGCGGCATAGAAAGCGTCAACAGAAGTATGATCTTCCGAGGGATTGTAAGTCAAAGCTCTCTATGTATACATTTCTTTATCATGAAGGGGTAAGTATGCATACTGTGGCAGGTGAATGCGATATGAGCAGGCCGTTCAGGTACTGTCTTCGATCCAAAGACCCAGAAGTCGGCACGTTTGTAACTGTCCGAGTCTTCGTTGACCGACCCAAGGCCAACGACGAACTCGCCGAATTGATGGCGAACTTGGTAGCCAAGGGGCTTGAGTGCTTCAAGGTAGAAGTTGAGGCATTCTTGGAATTTGTCTTCGGGTACAAAAAGAGTCGTGTGATCGATTGCCATTGTGATGAGGTTAGAGTAGAGAAAGTTCGATGTTGCGGAAGGAGAACTTGGAAGACAAGATGTGGAATAAATGGGATGAGATGGAAGCAAAAGAACAAGTAAGCTGGCTGTCCAAACTTGGTATTTCTAGGCGGAAAGTTTAACCCAATTGATTTAAAATACACCCCTGCAACGTCGGATGGAAGAATTCGCGGGACCGAAGAGAAGTCTGGATCTCTTCTTACTAGGCAGAAAGCCAAACTGTCTTGGCTCTGCCTAATACTCACCCATGTCCCTCCCATAATTTGCTCGTTGTGCCATAGTAGCGAGGAACCCGGTACTCCAGCAACTAAAATACTTACGTTACCTCTTTCATGGAGCATTATGCATGTTCTAAACGTTGGCGTCTTGGAAGGAGCTATGTTGGGCGTCAAAGTGACTGCCATCCTTTTTGTCAGAAAGTGGGAGAAACCTCGTCTTTTCAAGTCTAATTACATAACATACTAAATCAATCCCTAACTAATCTATAACGCATATCGAAAAGACGGATCGTTCTTATCCGTCAGATCGGCGGCTTGTAACCCATTCTCCTCTAGCATGTCTCCTCCGCTCAAGTCAACATCGGTACCGGCCTTTGCCTCTCGTTGCCTGTTATCCTGCATGCACAGCAAGCGGTAGATGATCACCGCAGCGAACAGGAGGCACCACGTAACAATAGATGTGATGACGCCCTCTGTATAGCGAGGTCTCTTCGTCCATAACTGCGGAGACCCAATACATCCAGCGCAATAGCCAATGAAAAACATTGTATTGACGATGGCACGTTTTGTGTTGCCCTTAACATTAGAAGCAGAGAGCGAGAGAAGGATGGACATGGAAGCTGTTATACATGAGGCCTATCGATGAGAGGGTTAGTACGGAGCTATATACCCCCGGCTAAGAAGGTTCAGGGGTCAACTCACCAACCAAGACATGGCAATCATCCCCCATTCGGCAGTTAGGTCGAGCTTGAACAAAAAGACAGTGCCGACAAGGGGTGGGATAATGAGCATCAGCGCGACTAGTGTCCGCTGACGCGGGAGGATCGTGGCAAGCGCGACTCCAATCCATAATAAGGCCATTTGGACGGCCCCAGAGGGTGCCGTGTACAGCATTGTGTCCAGCTTGCTGTAGCCAAGGGACTCAATGACGAGGGACGCAAAGGTCAGTACGGGTGACTGCATCGTTACCAACACTCCGAACCAGAAGACCAACCATGCCTTGGGGTCCGTGAGAGTCTCTTTCAGTTGTGGGAGGGAGAAAAACGTCTTATCGCCGCCCTCATGGTCTTGCGCCATGCGTTGCCGTAACACTTCCTTTTCACGAGCGTTGAGGAACCATGCGTCTTTGGGTCCACTTGGCATGAGCACTAAGAAGCAGACTCCTGCAGCCAATGTCATAGCCCCACAGATCAAGAACAGTACGCGCCAGGGTGCGATGTCTAGGGCTGTGTTTTTGCCTATGCCGTACATTAACAGGCAGCCGATGACTTGGGCCAAGCCATTCATGGAGATCCAAAGGGCTGTGCGAGTTGTATGCTCGTTTTGACGGTACCAGATAGATGTAATCGTGACGAAGGCTGGCGAGACTGCGCCTTCACTGAAGCCGAGAAGAAATCGAACGGCGGCAAATCCACTATAAGTCTTCGGTGCGGCCAGACACATACACACGCCACCCCAAACAATCCTACTGTATTCAGCAAAAGGTCCGAGCCAACTAAGCTAGTGGAGCACAACATACACCGTAACACCAACAAACTTTGTCAGAGGGAGTCGGCTCATAAGGTAAATGAAGGGATATTCGGAAACAAGCTGGCCCACATAGAAGATAGAGCTGCACCAGGAATATTGCGAACTCGTCAAATTCAGGTCTTCCATCAGGCCGAATACACCAGCATAGCTGAGACTTTGTTTGTCTAAGTACTGTAGGAAAAAGACGAAGCAGAGCTTCAAGTCCAGAGCCGTCGGTTATCGAACCCAAGAGCAATGGGAGTGGACGGGGGATGAGCTCCTTACAAAAGGTAGAATGATCATGTCAATTTTCCGCACCACTGCCTTTTCCTCCTCAGCGCTGTAGGTTGCCGTTAGGTGAACTAACTCGCCGACTCGTCGTTCCTCATCTTTGATATCCGCACACGGGGCTTTCGGAATGTCCATGAGTGAAGGAATGAGCACCGAGTCAAAAGGTCGATATTACCGCTGGTGCTGTCTTAGGGTTGGGAGGGATTGACAACCGAGCGATAGTGGAGTAGGCCAGGCCATTATTATATGCTGCGCTCAAGCAAGGAGCGTGCAGAGATGCATGAATCATTTCCCCAGATCCACAATGCCTTATCATTTGTGGGGTAAGATAAGAACACATTAAATGATAGCTGGCGTCCAGCCATCCGACGCAATCCACCAGGGCAGATATCCGAAAAAAACACCATCAACTGAAGATCCACATTGGCCCGTCGGGATGCATGTCGGCAATCTGGCCCCGGTCAGGCCAGGATCCCGACAACCAATCTATGCTTGTATCTTAAGAGGGGTAGTTATACGAAATTAGTGGGGTCTTGCATATAAGCTTCGCCCTGGTGAGGGTGTCTCTTATAACATTAGTCTTACGTGCGGCATTCCTGCCTACATCCCCTTCTCCGCATCATTTCCTGCCTCCACGAAGAAAGATCGCAAACATGACCCAAACAACCCAAGTCCCAGGGACTGAGATCAAGCCCTGGTTGCAGCCAACACCGCAGGGCTATGTCTTTGTTAACGCCAATATTGTCGACGTTGACGCCGGCACGATCCTGGAAAACTCATCTTTGGTGATCAGCCAAGGCAAGATTCAGTCAATCTCACCAGGGGAGAATCCGCCGACCGATCTACCTGTAATTGACTGTCAGGGTGGCTATATCTGCCCGGGATTATTTGATGCCCACGTTCACTTGTGCGCTGTCCCAGGATTCACCGACCTGAGCAAAGCCTTTGGGAATCCCAACGATGTGCACCTGCTGCGCCAGCCTTATACGGCCGCTCAGATGCTGCATCGAGGCTTTACTAGCATTCGCGATTGTGGTGGGGCGCAACTCGCCTTGAAAGAGGCCATCGAAGATGGTGTCTTTCCCGGTCCTCGTATCTTCCTATCTGGCCATGCCCTGTCGCAATTTGGGGGACATGGCGATTTACGAAACTCGCATGAACACGGTCAATGCTGTGGCGGAGTCCACAACCAAAATTCGCTCGGGCGCATGTGTAACGGCGTCCCCGAGTGTATGGCGGCTGTTCGCGAGGAGATCCGCTGCGGCGCAGATTTCATCAAGATCATGGGCTCGGGCGGCGTTGCATCGCCCACCGATAAGCTGGAGCACCTCCAATTCACGGACGCCGAGATCCAGGCCATGGTGGAGTGCGCGGCGAATGCGGGCACCTTTGTCACAGCCCATGCATACACGGTCAAGGCAATCCGGCATTGCATTGATAACGGTGTCCGGGGCATTGAGCATGGGAATTTTGTCGATGAACCGACTGCTCAACTCATGGCGGAAAAGGGCGTCTACCTGACCCCCACGCTTATCACCTATGCTCAGATGGCCAGTGATCGGTGGAAGGGCTATCTGTCTCCGGAGTCACAGACGAAAAATTCCCAGGTGCTCAAGTCCGGCTTAGGAGCCCTCAAGATCGCATCAGATGCCGGGGTTACGATGTGTTATGGCTCGGATCTCCTGGGCCCGCTGGGTGCTGCTCAAACGCAAGAGTTCCAACTGCGTTCGCAGGTACTTTCGCCGCTTGAGGTTCTGCGCAGTGCGACTGTCAACCCGGCGAGGATGATGAGCTGCGGCGACAGTCTCGGCCAAATCAAAGAGGGCTTTGAGGCAGATTTACTCGTATTAAGCAAGAACCCCTTAGAGAACGTAACCATCTTTGATCAGCCCGACGAGCATGTTCTAGCTGTTATGAAAGCGGGGCGTGTCTATAAGAGCCGATGGACGGCGCTCCCCGAGGACGGCGCAACTCCGGTGAGGGTATAACTGGATTGGATTAAAGAGGAGACGTCTTAGAGACAACGAGTAAGGATCTGAATTTGTACATATATGAATGAGCTATGAGGAACTATCAGCGTGCATAACGTCAATACACTACGTTAGTCGACCATTCCATGAATACTGCTCTTTACGGCGATCTGAAAAAAAAAGAGACTGCAGTAGCTATAAATTATCCCAAGACTTGCCTTTTAGAAATCATTCGAGTGGGTTCGACAATCCAGAAACGTCCAGAACGCCAAGGCCTGTTAGCTCCATCAGGAATGTTTGCTCGTCATGATGTAGCATAGGAAGGAATTCATAGTCAGCACCCTGTGCCTCTGGATACGCGTCTGACTCCTGTGTGAGATTCTGCATTGAAAATATGGTTGGAGAGAACATCTGCCGCTCAGCAGCAGGCCATGCCGGCCTCAGACCTGCGGCATTGTGTGTCGATGGCCACTGCCCGACTGGCGAGAGTGGTGTCATAGTTTCAGGCACCACCGATAATGAAGACGTCCTTTCACTGAATCCTTGGGCCTGTTCCTGTTGCATGAGCCATAGGGCCCATTGGGAGTATTCAGATGTCGAAGGTATGCGACTGTTACCCTGGGATGTTCTCTCAGCTGTACATGCTGACCGGCTAACTTTCTCCCGTGCTTCGTTGGTAATCAACTGAATTGCTTCAACAAACCGGACGCCCATTTTTGCCGTCACGTTCCCGATGGCCATCTGTCGAAGGTGCTCTAGACCAAATGCCACCCGTGCCTCGTACCCGGAATCGCGTTGGGTGATCCCATCAAGTAAGGTGACGATTGTTGCGATGCTGCAGCCTTGAAAGTCGGTAAAGGAGAATCGGGTGATTTTATGTGACATACTCATAGTTTCGAATAGTCCAAGAAGTTTCCGGGCTGCCTTTGCACAGGATCTCGATAGGTTTCTGGCCACATTGCTGATTTGGGGAAGCTGAGACCCGGTAACACAGGAGCGGAGTTTTGCTCGAACAACTGATACGAGAGACGCTTTTCCTATGGTGATCCAGGCATAGTAGTAATGAAGGTAGAGGTGGAATACAGCGCGATATCTCGAGTCTTGGGGGTCAGTGTCCTGAAGCGTGAACTCTGGAGGTAGGGACCGTTTCCATTCTTTGAGGTCCGATTCGTATCTTGCTTGGAGGGCAAGTTCGTCGCCGGTGTTCCCCAGTCTGTGGAAATAAGTACATGGTTACTCTTGGCAGAGGAAAGTTCTGACCTACTCAGGATCGGAAATATGGTCTAGGATTTTGACCAGCCGCATATAGGCGAGCTGGAAACTGAGGTTATCGAATTTCTGGGAGTGATCCAGCGCTGGAAGCGGTGACGGTAAAGGCGTCGTGATGACGGCGGCACTGATAGAACGGGGTCGGTTTAACTTGACTGTAGTACATCTGTGGTGCAATTAGATGAACTGTGATCGCTGCTGCAACGAAGGGTACCAACCGCTCCAGCGAGTAAAGTGACCACCATAGACGACGGCGGACCTCAATTTCACGTTCATTCATTTTTTGGTCGTCTACATCTTGATGGAGATCCAGCGCCAATGCTTTCCGTAAAGCCAACCCAAGGTAGACGTATGATGACCCAATTGCACTCGCAGGCATCAGATATACGCCCAAGACAAAGGGAGCTTGGACAGACTGTAGGCACGGTCGTTCGATAATGTCGGGTATCAACGTTCGAGCATGATCGAAGAATACCCTACCCAGATCACTCTTTTCCAGACCGGCGCTTAGCTGGTGCCCCTCGGGTTTCTCCAAGGTCGTCCATTGGCTTGCCAGCGCGAAGGCTGCCATCGCGAGACAGACAAAACTAGAGTCTGACCTCAACGGCGAGGTCGGGTCAGTATAGAATCGATGGATTTCCGACGCGAATTCGGCTTGATCAACGTAAAAGAATGTGTCGGTAGCATGTTTGATGAGGACTGACAGCAAAAAGGAAGCAATTGAGTACGGAGGGAAGGCATGCACAGCCGACTCTAGACGATCCAGCTCCGCGTGGTGGAGTGCTGTAGGATGGCTCATCTGCTGTAAACAGTGAGCCTCCGGCGCTTTATATACAGATCGACTGACTTACCGCCTGGCCTACAGCGATGCGTTGTTCTTCCAGGCCTCCTTGCGGGTCCAAACAGAACGCCTCTCGAAGCCGGGACAGTACTTTGGGCCATGAGCCCCCGGCAGCCTCTCCTGCAAGAACATTACTAGCAAGTCGTGGAGACAAAACTGGCGCTGTGGGTAGTGAACTTTGCGTATACGAGGCGTCCTGTGCGGTGGTCTTCCCAGTATTCGTTGGTGTGGCTAATGTTGCATCTTGATTCAAGCCTGTCGAGCCGTCTCCTTGAAGCGGGGGCGATTTCGGTCTACCTTAAGTGAGAATCTGGATTCGGCCTCTACATTTCTCCATTTCATCTGGGCTTGGCTGCCTTATATTGCGTGCACCTACCGTTGAAAATTGCAGATCAGGTTATTAACAGAGCACCGCTGGCATCTGCCAGGATTGGATTCAATACATTTGCTTTTTCTTGCCTTACAGCGGTCGCATCTAAAATAAATGAGCTTGAGTCATACTTAGGGTGCAAAAGCGGCAACAGATTGCATACGTACGCTCTGAAGGACCTCTTGCGATTCTCCTCCGCTACGCGACGACGCCTCCTGCGTCGGAGAGCAGCCGGGGAATCCATTGCCGATAGTATATTGACCAAGAGTGGAACGTGGAAGTGATAAGCCATCTTGCCGCAAGTCACTTAGCCGAGACGATCGGCAAATTGACATCGCTCCGGCAAGTCACCACGGTTAGTAGGTTATCATCTGCCCTCGGTGGACATTTAGCCCTCTCCAATAACTTATCCTACGACATTGGGGGTTTTTTGGGTGGTATATGTCTCATGTGTACATCCTCAAAGACTGCTTGGCTTGTACGAAGAGTATATAACGATATGGCCCCTAGATATATACATATTCAAGTCTGTACGGAAATCACATTGTATTTTGAATTTATTGAATCCTATGATAAATCTGGTCTGTACCGAGAATACAAAAGCTTTCATATGGCTAATTGGACTAGAGCTTGTTTAAGTAGGTAATTATCTTCCTCCTCTCCTAGGGTATTGAATACACACATGCTTCGTAACTCCTGCGTCAAAGATAAATAATGCACAGATTGTGAGCAGGAGAGATAGTTATGTAGTTAATGACTAATCCGCATAAGACCGCAATGACTAAGCAAGTACAACCTCTATCGCTTTCCAGAGTCAATTCATCTACACAACAGGTACCAGTATGACTTTACTCTGAGATGCTACGCCAGAGGTTGTCATTGACCTGCAATCAGTGCAGGTCACGCAAAGTTCGCTGTCTAAGTAAGACCTAACAACACGGGTAAGCCTCGTTGCTGACGCCCAGGATCCAATAGAACCGAAAGATGGCGGTCCCGATGCAAAATGCCACAACTGCGAGGTAACTCACTCCCGATGCTACAGTAGATACAATGCGCTGATGTACCACCAATAGAAACGGGGTGATAAATGTGTATTTCAAGTATACAGAAGAAAGTTTCGGGATGCGGCCAATCTTTCCTCCCCGAGCGTGGCTCCATCTCTCGACGTGAATGATATTGGCTCACCTGAGCATCAATCTAAGCCACACGAGCGTGAACTATCCACATCTACCCAGTCCATTCTAGCACAAGATTCTCCCGATCCATTGCCTCTCTACGTGGATCAGCTTATCGAAGACCATCGCGTTCCCGGGAGGACTCGCTATCTGGAGACCATTGTCACGGTATGAGATTCTTAAGTAATAGAACAACATAGCTAGTCATCTAACCAGGGGTCCATAGCATCACGATATTTACAGTATGCTCATTCAAGATTTTATTTTTTTAATATTTTATTTTTTTAATATTTTATTTTTTATTTTTTTTTGGCTCTTGTGGTCTTTTTTACTGTCCATGCTGTATATCACAAGATTTAAACTGCTAACAGTTTCTTTGTTAAGTCGGGAGCGCAAGTATCGGGTACTTTTCTGAAAGTCGCATACGGGCACTCACTAATCGCTTGGGCCACACCGGAGTTGAATGTCTGCTGAATCGAATTTCCGCTGTTGTGCATGATCGCTATGAACGTCACCATGAACAACCGGCTACCGACAAACTATGGCAGAAACCCGAAAGCTTACCGGAAGTGGAGGAAACCACGATGAGGCTTTATGTTAACTGTATGAGACAGGCTTCAGTCCGATGCTGTGGTATGATTTCTGACTATTGGTAGCATATTTTAGCCAGATTCATCCGGTCTACCCATTCCTTGATCGATCAAAATTTGAACAAAGAATATCGGACACCAATCTAGCTGCGGATCTTAAAAGGGATATTCACTGGTCTGCATTGTATCATACTATTTTGGCTTTAGGTTGCCAGTACCATGATGGCGGTGCCTTCGAACCTGGAAAAGGGAAAAGCTGGCAATTCTACCAGGTAGCTCTGGGATTTGCCTCCGATATATTTGTCGGAGCCGAATGCCTGGGTGGAGTACAGGTAGTGTAGCTTACACAGTCTTAGACGAGCGGTTAGCTAATGATATTACAGGCAATCACCGCAATGGTATGTATCATTCACACGTTCTATGATGCAGAACTGATAAGTCTAGGCAATTTTTGCGCTCAATTTTTCTTACATGCACCTTGACTCTCTTTTCATCAAGCAAGCTGCCTGTGTAGCGCAGCGTCTGAGATTGAACGCAGCGTCAGATACAGCAGACCAACATATTCGATATCGAATTTTCTGGGTGATCTACTTCTTGGAGAAAACGCTTTCTTTTCATCACGGCAATACCTCGGTAAGCACCATAAAACATTGGTCCGCATTCCTGCTTATCATTTGTACTTTAGGTGATCATGGACTCCGACATAGGATGCCCCGTTCCTACCACTCCGGAGTCTGTGTTTGGTGACTATAATTGGCTGACTGCATCTGCTGGTCTTGCTCGCTTTTTATCAAGAGCATACGAGTCTCTGTTTTCAATTAGCGCGACGTGGAATACAGAGGCATCTTATTACCGGAAAATAGACACCATGAACAGCCTGCTCGAACGGTGGCGGCAGTCAATACCGATGATATTTCGGCCCGGGGAGCCATTCCGGGCACAATCATTGCACGGCTCCTGTGAAACATTCATTGCTCTGCAGACTCACTTTTATTACCATAATGCGTGTATCGCGCTTTGCCGCTTGACCTTGCACTTGGGTCGGCATTCCGATGGCCCTCGACAGGTAGCCGCCAGAAAGGCTATTATGCAAGCGGCACGGTCGATTATTGAGTTACTGCGACATATTGACATGGAGGCTTACACGCCAGTTTAGTATGACTCCCTACCCCTTTAACGAGGAACTCAACTGACTTAGTATGCAGCATCCTTGCTCATCTACCCTTATCGGCGTTGTTTATTCTCTTCGACCTCGTTATTCACAACCCGACGCACCCAGAAACGGCTAGCAACCTTGCTCTGCTGGAAGTAGCTGGAGGCCACTTTAGTAGGCTAGAGTATGCCACTGGTGGTTCATTACCTAGCTCTGTGCTTGCTGAGTTTGCGTATATTGCCCGGAATTTCGTCCGCACTTATCCCATGGAAGGAAACGATGGAAGTGCCATTGCAGTGCCGACTAATGCGGCCATTGATCCGCCGCGTATGAAAGAGGATAGCCTGCCCTCAGCCGCGCCTTTCTTGGGAAATGAGGTAAGTACTCTGACATGGGTTTCACTCCAGCCCCTACTTACTTTAGCTCTCAGACGCATGACCACCGACCGCCCTTGGCCAGCCCAGACACTCTACCGTTATTTTTTCCTGCTATTGACGACATGGATGCTGGGGACGGGTCTCTGACTGGGTTCGACGTAACGGACCTTTTCGGAACTAGCATCCCTTTCGACCAGAATCTACCTTTCTGAGCCTCTTGGACTGACATTCATGATTCTGGCTTCAGTGTATTCATCGCTCTTTCCGAAACATTAAAGCAAAGGGGACTAGTGCTTGACAGAACACATAAGCTGGTCCCAGCGACTGTATTGAATAAAATACTTACGAAGACAATGGAGCGCTTTTGCTCATCGGTTCCTGTCACTGTGGATCTACCATAATGTAGACATATGTCCTTTTCAAGGGCCCGATCTTTCGGTACACGTGTAACACGGATAGCGAGGCTAGCAGAGAAAGGCTACGCACTTTGACGCGCCTTCTTGATTGGTACAAAGGGACCAAATTTTTGACCTGCGGATCACTTGCTGGAGGGTGGGTGGTGGCGAAGGTCGGGCTTGAAGACGGTGTGCGCGGTATACCGAAATGTTCTGAAGTACATGTACAAAACGCTGCATCATGATTGTTCTGAAAACCCACCATTCTGCACGAGCCGTGAGGCTTATCGTCATCGCCAACAAATAGTTGCTTCGTTCGACTCTTCATCCATGTTGGTCTGTGTTGCCTGCGAGGTTTCGAAAATCGGCCGTCGGACCTCATCACGCCAAGACCACCTCGGAGCTCGGTGGTCGGTCCACACTCTACAAACCTGTCGAATACACAATATAGATCCAGTTCGGCCACTCTGGTGCCTATTCAAACATGGAAAGGGCTATGCTGGCTAGTTCATCGTCAAACTCTGAAATAGTCGGCCTTTCTACGGCCCACTTTCGTTGTCCATGCATATTTATACCATTCTTCCCCTCACGAGGAAGCGCAGTCCGGTGTTCTGTCTGCTCACTGAAACCAATAACACGGTGTTGACTTACTTTTAGCTGCCAATGATTGAGGATTATCTGCACAAAGGCTGCCATGCCATGGTAGAGGGTGTCAACCCGGCATACGGGTACCAGCCCTCACTTGCAGCTGGGATCGCCTTCTGTGTGCTGTTTGGGACATCCATGGTGGCTCACACAGCACAATCGTTTTGGTCTAGGAAGTGGTGGTGCTTACTATTTGCCATAGGATGCTTGAGTATGTCTTAGGCCGAAACAGTTGACAGAGGTTATACACTGACTTATTGCAGCGGAGGTTTTAGGATGGGCAGCACGGACGTGGTCAGCCAAGTGTCCGTATCAAACGGACGCCTTCTTGATGCAAATATCAACACTGATTCTCGGTATGCCCAGTGCACAAGATATCCCCTACCAACACTGTCTGACAAACGGTCTCTTTTCTAGGCCCAACATTCTTCACCGCCGGTATATACGTCCTTCTTGGCCAACTCATCGCTCTTCTCGGTCTGGAAAGTTCTATTCTTCGCCCCAGCTGGTATCTCTGGATATTTTGCACATGTGATATCATCTCGCTGGTCGTACAGGCAGTGGGTGGTGGAATGGCCTCTTCCGCAGCAAGCGAAGTGGACGGGGACACTACCCCGGGGACCAATACAATGGTGGCCGGTATTGTATTCCAGATGGCCGCCATCACAGCATTCGCCTTCTGCGGTATCGACTTTCTTGTTCGATGTCGTCGACCTCAACTTCGAGCCCGGTTCACCTCAGGCATGCGCTTGTTGGTGTTGGCGACGACGTTCTCCGTGGTATGCATCTACGTGCGAAGCATCTACCGTACGATCGAACTGTTGGAAGGCTGGTCGGGATATCTGATCACACGGGAGTGGTTCTTCATTGGTCTTGATGGAATCCCTATGGTGCTTGCTGTGGTTGTGTTTAACATCTTCCATCCTTATTGGTTCATGCCCCGGGAGAAAGAGGCTAGAAAGGCGGATTCGTGGGTTTCTTTAACTCGGCCTGGTGAGAATGATGATATTTGAGGAGCTACTTACCCAGTCTCACACACCCGAAATTTTATATAGAATTTAGATACTATTACTTCTTGCGCCACTTCTCACATTCTTTGTTTCTATCTCTCCTATGATTCTTCAACCCCACAATATAAACAAAACCGTAAAGGTCCCAACCCAACATCGCAAATCAGCACACAAGACGTGTGCCCATGATCGACACCCATCCTTCCCTCATCTCGGATAAACCACCTGAAACCAACCCGAGTCGATCCCATGTATCATAACATCCCGAGAATCGGAAACAGTGGATCCCGAGCCGTTAACGGTCCACATCCCGTGTCTTATTCAGATAGTAGATCTACCACTATATACGCCATTCAAGCCAGTCCCCAATTGAAGAATCACAAACCACCACGAAAGAAAATGACCATCCAAGACCCCAATCCACCACCCCAAATCAGTATCCAGGACATAATAGCCCTAACAACATTCCTCCTCATCCGCGTCCCGTGGACTATCTTCAAGACCACACTATACCATCTCCCTGGCAGATCAAACCATCCACCATTATTAAAAGACCTTACTCGGTCTCTTATACGAGAGTAAACATCCCCTGCCCCTTCCCTACATACCACCTTGCCCCTCACCATATACCATACTCAAAACCCAAACTAACAACCTCAACAATAAAAAAGGTCCTTCGACCAAATCCCCCCAGCAATCCACAACACCCTTCCCAACAAAACAGGATCCAAAACCCTCCTCTCAACACGTTATAGCCCACTGAAAACCCATCTCTTCCACAAGATCCAAAGACCCAATTTCACAGGATACTGGGTATGTCGCGGCCTTCTCCCAAGAACAACAACAACACCAATGGACCCCAAACAAGCAGATCTAGTCATCTATCACCTCCGCGGGAGCGGGTATGCGCTTGGTCATCCTGGGGATACACTTCCCGGGTTATTATTCCTCGCTGAGGTCTTAGAGAAGAAGGGAATTAGGGTATGTATGTTTACGTTGGATTATACGTTGGTAAGCAATGGGGTATATCCAAGACAGGTATGCGAGTGTTTCGGGGCTTATGAGTATCTTATCGAGGAGGTGGGGGTTAGGGCTGAGAAGATTTGTTTGATGGGTGAGTCTGCGGGGGGACATCTTGGTTTGTCGTTTTTGGTTGGTCTTGCTCTTTCTAAGAGGGGTTCTTTTTCTTTTCCTTTGGATCACGATGAGGAGAAAGAGAAGAAAGATAAGGATGAGGGAGAAGAGTATCCACGACCTGGGTCTATGATTCTCCTAAGTCCCTGGATTGACCTCTTTCTTTCGTCTCCTTTGATACCGATGCTCGAGAAAAGGGATTTTATGTCCAGGACATTCCTCCAGCGAGTCGGTAAGGAGCTTCTACATTCTGATACCAGATTGATCTCTCTCTTTGGGGATTTTACCTCCCGTTCTACGGAGAGGGGATCTTGGGAGCGTATTCTTCCGACTCGGATGTGGGTATCTGCTGGTGCGGATGAGGTTTTCATGGATGATATTGTGCGGTTTGTTAACTGTGCGAGGGAGGATGGTGTGGAGGTTGAGTTGAGGGTTGAATCTGGGAAGTGTCATTCCTGGCAGAGTGGGGAGGCGTTTTTGGCTGCGAGGAGGTTTTTGGATATGTCTATGCAGTGCGAGGGGGAGGAGTTGATGCCTGGGTTGGTGGAAGTTGGGGAGGTTATTGCTGGGTTTGTTTGATTTTGGGGGTTTCAGTATGGATTTGGTACATTGTTTGCTGATATCTATAGATTGCTTTCGATTTGATGGGGTTTTCGAGTTAATAACCGGTAGTCTATGTTTAGATTTGTCATTCTGTTCTTTTAGACGCATTGTTTAGTAGCTACGAGGAATGATACCTGGACGTGGAAGGGTATATCTTGTCCATGACCATGGGTCTACACCTGGAAAGACGATCATTGTCCGTTCTAAGAACGATGCAGAAATCTCTATAAACATATAAATATCCAGTTCATTCTGTAAAACTAAATCGATTGATGGGGTATATATGACATGAATGCAGATGTGAAATACATAGAACTGTAGGCATTCTCCTTAACCAATGGATACTCATGCCATAAAAACGTTGATCAAATGCTAACGCAACGCTCATCGCAGGTGTCGGTGAAACCAGACGGACAGCTTTTCATCAGTTCAATAAATCATAGAGGTTGGGCTATCATAGAGACTGGGGCTGTTGGCGCCCTTGAAACCAGCCACCTTTCTCCCATTTACCGGGTTGATAGGTGGCGCTGTTGCGAACATCGTCATCGCGGAGACCGGCAAGGAGGGTGTTTAACCGTTCGAAGTTGATTGGCTTCATGATCCAGCCGTCGAAGCCTGCAGAGATGTATTTTTCTGCGTCCTTCTCAAGAAGCGAAGCCGAGACGGCGAAGACGGGTATTCGGCCGTTCAATTTAGAGAGCCTCGAGAGTGAGTCGGGCGGGGTATCCTGCTCGAATTGACGGATCATTTTAGTGGACCCGATACCATCGACAATTGGCATCTACGCAAGACTAGTTAGCGCTGTTTAATGAAAGCATGACGAAAGCAGCACCTACCTGGATGTCCATCAGGACCGCATCAAACTGAGCAGGGTCCGCACGGTAGGCGCTTGCACACTCTTCGCCATTAACGGTTAGGCGTACAGTGTGGCCAAGTTTAGTCAGTCGTTTCTGTATAATTTTGCTATTGATCGGGTCGTCTTCCGCAACAAGGACACGGAAAGTATCAGGTAAAGGAGACGGATCGGGTTTTGGGGGAGGCTCTTTGGTCGGCGATGTGGACTCGGTCTTTGTCTCTGGAGGCTGGCCAACTAGTACAGGTTCCTGTGTTGGTGGGCCGTCGCAGGTCTCTGGGCGATGCTTAGATTCTTCATCTAGGCTTGGCTGTGAAGTGGGAGGTTTCTGTGTGGCCTTCCCACTCTCGCTGTTGGTGTCACTTCCGCCATAACTACGTCCCTCGGATCGAGTATCAACCAGGACGAATTCTTCTTTCGACTCTAAGGGGACCGTCGGTACAACATTGTGAACAGGGATTTCGGACTCGTCTTTGGCAGTGGCGGCATCGGCCGGTAGAGGGAAATTCAACGTGATCTGAAACCGGCTACCTTTGCCTTCCTCGGATCGAACACTAAGTTGCCCTTGCATATTACGAACGACGCGAGAGACTGTCGCCAGCCCCAATCCCAGAACCTGCTTTTCTGTCTCATCCACGACTTCGCGTAGATTGTCCTGTCCATTTTCACCCGGGCCGCGGATGTCACTCTCTGCAGAGACCTGTTCGAGCTCCTGGAACAAGGTCTCAAGTCGAGCTTGAGATATGCCCGAGCCCGTGTCAAGGACTGCGATTTGCACCGTTGCGGAGCCATCCTCTGCACGGCCCGGCTGGCGCCAGAGTTCGACGATAATGTCACCACCAGATGTATGCTGAATAGCGTTCGAGATCAGATTGGACATGGCCTGCCGTACACGCCTTTGATCCCCGATAACTGTTGGAGGGATGCCAGGGTGTGGTAAAACGGTATAGTTGATCCCTTTCCGTTCCACCTCGCTCTCAAACATGCCAGTCGCTTCCTTGAAGGTCGCCTCAAGGTCGAAGGGCTCGTCCTTAATGAGATCCTGGCCCTTTTCCGTGTTTGTCAGGTCGAGTAGGTCGTTAATTACGTAAATCAATGACTTCGACGCGGAGTACGACTTGGTGAGATTGTCCCTGGTTTCCTTATCCAGCGCACCTTCCAGTGCAATCTCCAGATAATTAACGACCGCGTTTAAGGGAGTCCGCACCTCATGGGCGGAGTTTGCCAGAAGAAGCTTGGTCAACTGCGAGCCCTGCATGGCTTCCTCGTTCTGCCGCCATACTTTGATGAATTTGCCGTACACCAGACATAAAACGGCAGCAGTCTCCACGTCAGAGTCCGTCCATTCTCGAGACTGATCCAGGACGGTTTCTTTCCAAATCTGAAAGCTCTGTCGCGGTTCGAGCCTACCGATCTTCTCCTTCTGTTCATAGGGGTTGCCGCCCCATTTGATTTCAGTCAGTCGACCCTGTCGGAAAAAGGCCATGAAATCCGTGCCATCAGCGGAGAGGGGAACATAAAGCAACCCAGAGATACATTTGAACCCCGGGGGGTACTTGAGGTCCGTGAAATCTTTCCTGATGTTGTGCGACGCGAGGACAGAGTTAATCCGGCGCATTCGGAGATATTCCAGCAAAGCCAACATCTCTTGATGGGTCGACCCACCCAAGATTTTGGTCTCGTCGCGGATCGATAAGGCACCAAAATCAGCATCAAAGAGCTTAAGCAAATCGTCAGACGAAGCCACAATATACCCAGACGGATTGGCGTCCGTTGGGACAGTGTTGATCAGTTTGCGCGCCTGCAGACGCGATGCATATGAGAGACGCTCGATGTTACGCGACAGTGTTTCTCCAATCAGTCGACACATTTTTCGGAGTGGGAACGAGACTCTCATGCCAGTGTCGTAGGTATGGCAAGAGATCAATCCCCACAGCTCGCTGGGGCCGTTGATGCTGATAGACATTGAGGCACGCACTTCCATGTTGGCCAAATATTTCAAATGGATGGGCGACATTGCACGCAAGTATGCGTGTGTCATATCTAAGGGTCGCTCCAGATCTTCCACAGTACGGCAAACCAACCGTGCTGTCACTTGCTCACGGTCATAAAGCAAGCGGACACGGTTGATGCGGTATAAATCTCGAGCTTGCTTGGGAATATCGGAGGCGGGAAAGTGTAAGCCCTTATAAAGATCTACGGTGAACCTCGGATCAACCAACTCAGCAACCACAACACCATTACACTGGCCATCAAACTGATAGATCAGGATTCGATGAAATCCCGTCAGCTCTTTAACAATCCCCACGGTGGTGTTAAGCAGCAAGTCCAATGTTTCGGCGCGATTCATCTGTTCCTGAACCTGGCTCACAATGCTGAAAACCTCCATTGCGGCGGCTTCGCCCTTTCGCCTTCGCGCGTTCCGCAGCAACCGAAGTGGCTGGCTGATGTTGATGGTGCTTTCCGCGAACTGTTCCGGAGTGAATTCAACACCCAGGGTATCAACTGGCACCGAGGGAGACGGACCACTGGAGCCGCTGATTGGATTGGCACGATCATCTTCCAGCTCGAACTCGCAGATGATCAGGCCCGGGTTAGCAGGATTGACATGGATGGCGCACCAGAGTCGCACCGCCTGGCCTGCTGGGCTGGTGATGGACATGATGAACACTTCGGGACCATCGGCACTAGGATCGTACGCCTCATCGCGGATGAAGTCAACATGATCTAAGAGAGTTTCCGTCTGGTCCTCATCGAGGATGTCACAAAAGTTTTCCAATGCAAAGAGACTGTGGGGTGAGTAGCCAAGGATACTTTCTGAGTTCTCACTGACCACGCGAACTACTAATTTTCCTTCCGACTCCTCGCGCAGGGCCATCATCGCACCAAACGTTTGAATTGCGCCGGGGATGTGAATCGGCTCATCTTCACAGGCCCGAAAAGAATCAACCGTTCTTCCGGTGAGAACAGCGTGGCCATCGTCCGTTTCGACGTGTTTAAATCGCGTGGTAACTAAGTGCGACGCTCCGTTTGCCTCCACCGGGCTCTCCAACGACGCATTGGCGGGGGTGGCGGGGCTCTGGACAAGGGTTTCGCTACCGGAACCCGGTGCTTCCGTGGGCAGTTGAGCTGCCACAATCGGAGCCGCTACGACTTCTGTATCTGACTTGCGTTGTAACTGCAGTTCATCCCATGTTCGCGAATCGATTATCGAATACTGCCTGGCTCCCCTCACTGGTGAGATCGGATCGTCAGACGGCGCAGTAGTCGACGAGGGATCGACAAAGACCATTGACCGAATTGGGTATACTCGTTCGGCGGCATCGGGACTAACCTCGTTCTCGGAGATATGTTTCGCTGAAAGGTCGGTAACCGGTACCTGCTGGACTACCTGCGCAATCTCAGAGGCCTCTTCGCGAGAAGCTTGCTTCAGCGCGGGTGCGGAGTCCGTTTTGGATTCCATTTCAATGTCCTAACGATTGGACTCGACCAAACCAAGCTCGATCACAATCTGTCACGAATCGTGTTATCGTGGCATGGGCAAATATCCCAAACGGGCGACAGCAGCAAAATCGGTGATGTTTAACGGACGCTCTACAGGTGACGCAATGAGTCCAGAGTGGAGACAAGAAGGAGGAGGATGCCGAATTGATCGATTATGAAACCGCGGAGGGTTCACAAGGTTGACGGCGCATGCACAGAACGCAATGGGTGGGCAAAGGAGGTCTAATGGAGATATCTCGGTTAGTGGCAACGCGCACCAAGGGATATGAGAGAAGCACCATACCGTGAGGAAGAAGACGGGAGTTATAAACGAAGATTCTCCCGGGATCGGTCCAGGCATTAAAGAATACAAGAAAACGGGGATTATCGACCGTGTTTACACAGAGGGGTTAAAATGCAATGGAGGGGGGAAAAAACAAAAAAAGGAACCAGGCGAAAGTCAGGTAGCGAAGATTGGAGTAGGCAAGAGAAGAAGAGTTACAGTGAGTCCTCGGTATCCGATGGATCGACGGCAATATTTCCTACATTCAGCTAGGCGGTCACCGTCTCGGGCCCAGAAGTTGGCACTGGCCAATCCCGTGCCGTATTGGGGTCGACCCCTCCAAAAAAAAAAAATTGAGATCGAGAACCCCACGATAAATCTTCCACTAAACCTGCTCCTCACTAGTCTCAAGGGAAAATGATTCCACTTAGTCATATGTCAAAATGATAGGTGGTACCGATCCTCCGTCCTCCGTCCTAGCTCGGATCCTTTTTATATTGAGAGTTTTTACCTGTGCAATTCTGCCTCTGTTTGGAGTGATTTAGGTAGTAGTTTCACTCCTCCAATATCCATATTCATACCGTGGTAGGATGGTAAGCCCCTGACTAATAGATATGAGCTGCCAGATATCGAGGGAATGAAGTTGGAGACATACTTTTCACCACTTGAGTAAAATCAGGCCATGTCTGAAATCTGTATGGAGACCGGGCGGGTGACGTCATTTCCGCTGTCACAAAGGAATGGAACCCAACTGCTCGGGTCGATTGTGTACCTTTTCCTACTAAGCAAAACGGTGCAATGCATCACACTCCACCTTCCACTCTTAGTCCGCTGTATTCATCTTCATTCGTTCCACAGCGGATGTGTCATCTCCCGCTGTCCACGTGACCCCACGAGCTTTCGGCTCGGCTGCAGCAGGGCCACTTTTGATTGGTGGCATTGTGTACCGTCGCTTACCCTTTGCCTCTCGAATTACGGTGCGGCTTGGTCAAAGCTTAGAGTCGTCCCGGATCCAATCTTTATATTAGTAGGCACACCATCCACATCAACCAGAGTGCTGGTAGTTCCTACTTGAGCTTGCATAGGCAATAATTAAAGGGCTGAAAGATATATTCAAAATCCGCTTTGTCAAGGGTTGGAGAATAGAACAAGAATTTTCTAATTTCCCCTATTCTGGAAGTCACTCTCTACGAGATTCTGAAACATTGATTGATATATATATATTCGAAGCTAGTGATTCTGCTGTTGTGATCCATGCAGTTTTTTTGCTATAGAATTGAAGGATTGCGGCCATCCGTTTTTGCAGGAGGACGAAAATAATGTTTGAATTGAGGGTTCTAGTCCAATCCATAAATGCCAAATGTTTCATGTGAATGTTGAGAGTATATATTCAGGTTGCTATGTACGTGGGGGAATTCCTAAGAAGGCTGAGTTACGACGAAAAACAGCTTGCGTGAAGACCTCAGCAGTGGTTCCCTGTGGCGGTCCGCCACACCCCCCCTTCGTTGTATGTTGTCCTGTGCCCTGGAACCCTGATGACGATGGATGACATGTTCTCGCCTCTTCGGTATAAACAATCCACAAATACCTAGTAATTATACACGACGCCCTGTGGACCAACCCATGGTGGTAATTCTTTAGTATATACGTTGATCGCGTACTATGTGCACAGTCTTTTCAGGCGACTGCGTCAGATCTGGTCTGCTCAACGGATGAAGCGAGTGTGCAGTCGGTTTCCACACGTGACCTTCCCAAATATGATGACAGAGGAAGTGATGTATATGCAACGCATGCCGCTGGGGAAGCGTTATGCTACTGGCCCGATACTGTGGTGACCGGGGAATCTGCACCCTGACAAGGCCGTCATCCGTCCTTATGCAGCCTCGGCAAATGCCTCGCTGAGCCGCACGCGGGAGAAATGCTATTTCCCCGGTTCGGATGAGCCGTCTTTCAGCCCGCTCGGTATGTTCCAAGTGTTTTCGGCGGGCAAAGAGTGTATGGATATGATATATAGAAACTAGAATGGAGGTGGAGTTACGGCGGGCGTGTGGTCTCAGAAGAATATCCTCGGCGCTCTGACCGGTCCAAGCTGTCCATTGAGATGGCACTCCATGGATACCGAGAACGAGTCCGGGCGCGAACGGGCGCCGCATGCGTAATGTCACCCGTCAGTTGCTCCGGATTCACGAAATTAGGATATTCTTCGTGGTCGGTGGAACTGGTGTCAGAGGGGCGAGTATTGACGAGCAAGACGAGCTTTCGCAACACGGCGAATTCCAACTTCAGCTTGACGCTGTAGACTGCAGCTTTAAGTGTGGTCTGAAGAGCGTAAAACCCGACGTATTCCAACACCAGCAGTGCCACATCTAGGAGCACGATGATCACGTTGATTGTAATCAACTCATACATGATCTTCTTCCGGGTGGGATCTTTGTCCGGCCGCAGCCGCAGAAGGTTGATCGTCTCCCAGATATATATGCAAGAGATCAAGATCTCCTGTGCACAGAACCAAGCCAATTGCATCCTTTCCATCACATTGTAACCGCGGATTATCGGTTCGGTGCGCACATAGATAGTGCAGTAGGTCAGGATGGTTGTTGGAATCAGCAAAACGATGGTGTTAAAGATGATCATGTACCGAACTTGCCGAAGAACCTTGAGATTCTGCACGACCAAGTGAAGCCGAGAATAAAGGACGATCGACTGCCCGGGAACCATGAAATAGAAACCGATTGTGGCGAGGGTGACCGCAAACCACAATGGTCCTTTCGCGAAAAATTCTAGCAAAAAGCCGACGGCATGTGGGATGACACCGAGCACATTGGACAACAGCATCGCCCAGAAGTACAGTCCTGCATACTGATTGAAGACGAGGAAAATTAGAATGATGAGCTCGATGGCGTTATACAGAGCGATTGAGCTAAAGACGACCATCAAGATTTTCACCGCAAGGCCTCCTTGATAACCACCAACGAGGCCCTCGGGCACCTGCGACAGTGAGTCGCCCATGACGTCCGGATGGCGCAATCCTTTCTCACGATCAAAGGAGTTCAACTTCCACTCGATTGTTTTTATCTCTCAAGCGGCAGTGGGCGACAACACTTGAAGCCATATTCAGTCATGCCCGACTTTGCAATCTGTCTCGATGATATCCAGTATGATCTTCGAACGTTTCGTTAATCGAACCGGGGGTTGTCTCGTGGCGAAATATATGCGTTCGCGATAAACACAGGCGAGGGGTGGAACTGATATAGGCGACCCGGCACAACTATATCCAGGGCAAGGCTTTGTTGTTTCACAAGATATTTAGAGGGAGGAAAGTCGTAAAGTGATAGGAATTCGTGTATATATATACAGTAGGCAAGTCTGAATGAACGTAGAAGAAGAATGAAGACGAAACAACAAGGAAATGACACTAAATGACGGGCGGACGGAATGGTCTGAAACAGTGGAGATCCTGGTGGAGGAGATATCCTGTCGAAGGTCCCCACGAGACTGGTGATTGAAGAGAAGAGGAAAAGAGAGAGAGAAGGAGTGGAAAGGATGGAAGTGAACGGATGGGGTTTCGGCAAATATTGGGGGAAATATGCACGACCACTAACGCTAAACTGGGGCTAGCGTGCAGCTAAGGTTTAGTGCCACATGATTTCCCCGGGCACTCGGAGTTTTGGAGCCTGAAATCTGAGGAGTCATTGACCCTTTTTTGTTCTCTCGCCCGATACAGTCCATATGTTCTATGTGTCTATTGGTACATAGTTACATGCCACCGACTGACGAATAATATTTGTCACAGTTGTTTAGGGATCCCTCTCTACAACAGCAATTTCCAAGCATCTGTATTGAGGATTGAGTTTGACCCTCCTTTAAACTTCGTTCAAACATCGGGGTTCATTCGTTGCCTTTCGAGGTCCTTCCGTCCGTCCCAGTTCAATCATGTGATGTGGTGGCGACCGTGAACCTTACCGAAAGGAGTAAGGCCCCTGTTTCAACCGACGTTGACTCCTTACCTACCCCGTACCGTTTGTGTTCTCATATGTGTGTAATATACGAAATACCGCGAATCCACATGTATCAGGTCTAGGCCCCGTGCCTACGACTAGTTCATTTTTGGGCATACTAGAACACTTCCACTAATCTCCAGCGGAGACTCGGGGTATCAACCGGGAAAATCACCTCTATACTCCACATCTGAGCTTCCATATCCACATACATTGTATGAATTAAGTTTTCTTGTCATGAGTCTCACCGAAGTCCATTTGCGACCGGCAGTGTCGCAAGATCTTCCATCCATCGCGGAAGTGGCCGCACAATCCATGTTGGACGATGAGCTGTTTGCGTTTCTCTGCCCTCGGCGTAGGGAATTCTACTCCGACTATCGTCAGAGTTTCCTGCGACGACTACGGGCGAAGTTGACATCACCCGGGTGGGTTGTCATTGTTGCAGTAGGTGAGTCTCGAACGCGCTCCGTGGATACAGACTCATGGCCTGTCCTTGGCTATTGTGTCTGGGAGCGCATCGGAGACACGGTGGAAGAGTCCGCCAAACGGTGGAAGGAGACCTCGAATCATAGCTGGTGGACTCGTGAGTAGCCATATATGGACTCCTCGATTTAGATTAAATAAACTATAGAATATACCTTTACTAAGATCTGCAGGGGTACAGGAACTGTTTGGAAATGTGAGCGAACATTTTGTGACTCGTCTGTACCCCGACCGAAGTGTAGATGCATCTCGCTTGGCTAGGTACAATGCGTCGACCGTTGATTGCTTCCCGTACAACGACTTTCCAGAGCTCTGGTTCCTGTCAACACTGGCAGTTCACCCGGCGTACCAGCGACAGGGGATCGGTCGCAAGCTCGTTGAATGGGGCCTCAAACAGGCCACGTGGGACGGAACCCCTGTTGGCCTCGAGGCCAGTGCCAAAGCAACCAATCTCTACGAATCCCTTGGGTTTCAGATAGTCAACGAAATGCCATTGGTGGAGGGGGTTACCCTGACAGCAATGCTGTGGCAACCGTCCTTTCGGGTGGCGCACCCTTGATGACAATGCATTATCCACAATAATGTATACATACACCTTCTCTATGGCCCTCTCTGGACTTTACGGCGTGTATATGTTGGCGCACCTGCTTTTGAACTAGGAAAGATAGGGTGGAATCCATCTTTTTTTTGGCTCCGAATCTACTGATCATTTCTTGGTCTGCAATTGACACGTGAGTTGCGATCAGGTTTGCTTGATGAGGAGGCCTTGGATGCCTTTGCTGAAGCTAGAAAGAATATCATATCATTGGCCAAACCTTATGGGATCACTGAACAAACCCCATTGCCAGTGGGGATATTGGCGACAGAAGGTCAGGTTTACAGGTCCACGAGCGCTGTAGGGGTTGGACACTTTGTGGACAACAAGGCTGAGACGCAAGAGTGCCAAAGAGACTCGTGTCTGTGATTTCCCAAATAGACCACCGCAGTTAGGCTTAACTTTTCGCAAGCATCATTTGTGCGGCTCCCAAAACTTGGAAACATATGGTTCACAAGTGAGACCTTCGGAGATTTATCACCTTATAGACGCAGGCCAGCTTGTTGGACAACATTGCGCGCCCACGAACAGCATCGTCAGGCGTTTGTGACGACTTCTCGGTGGCCGCTTGACACAATCATTATATTAGGCAACGATGATAAGATTGCGAAGACAGACTTGAGTTGTTCGTGAATGCGGTGCTCTCGCGACGGGCTGGACGTGGTGTCAGCCTGGACGATCCTTTAGGTTGAATATGCGGTGTGGTCCTATGGACGCAGCCGATAAACATAGATTTGTCATTGGGCATGGCTGGGAATTTGAAACATGAAATGAAGTCCCAGGTGCCTCCATAAACTATCGTGGCCGTCAGGGAGAACCGTCCACACCGGTTTCCGTGGCGCGACGGGAGTGGATGCCAAGTGACGAATAACAACTTTACATCTATATCGCCAGCTGGCGATGTACCACCCACCATCAACAATGCACACCTTCAATTTATACCACTTTAAAAGCGTTTGTGTGATCGTTTCCCGGCGTGGTACTCGACAATTAAGTTTAACTTTCACTCGTACCGCTCCGATATAGCGTCAATGCGTCACGGGTTAGAAGACCACTCCCGCGAGTTGAATACATACCTAGGTACATACAGTGCACGAAGTTTTGACGATATGTGCGATCTAATCAGACATAGGGCAGACCTGATTGTCCGACCACAGACTCGTTGCTCGCATATGATGACCCCTGATACCCCTCCCGACTCCCCCCAGTCATTCACAACAGCCCTCCTGCCGTCGTCGCTCATGGCCGTCCACAAGGGCCGTTTGGAAGCGGAGTTCGGCAGGGAGAAATGGAGCGACCGCGCTCATAGACCTCATGTCTATGACGACACCGAATGGATCGAGCATGACCTTGAAGACCGGGTCCAACTCATCGGGAGCACCCTAAATCGTGACATGAATCGCTTAAATCTGTTGCTCCAAAAGGACCGTAGCGACGCCAGGCAAATCAGTGATTGGCAGGCCCGTATCGACCATCTGGAACGAGAATTGAAAGCTTCTAATGCGGAGCGAGATGCATTACGCATAGCTCTTGAAGAGTCACAGAACCGTTCGGCCCAAGAGAAGGATGTCGCACGCCATCATGAAACGCTACAAAAGCAGCTCAGTGAGATGCAAAATCAAGTCCAGACCCTGAACAAAAAAGCGGAGTCTCAGGCAGCAATGCTCACGAAGAAGGATACCTTGCTTCAGAAGCACACAAAAGCCTCGAACTTGAAGGTGCAAAAGGAGAAGACTCAGCTGGAAGAGGCTCTAGAGAAAGCTAAGCGGCGGGCCGCTGATGCACAGAAAAAGGCCCGAACCGCTGAGAGCGAGCGTGACGAGGCGCAGAAAACGCTGGAGGAAGCCAGGAACAAACTTGTGTCGTCACGGCATAAGCGAGCGATTGTCGAAGAACAACGCAAGACGCTGGAGAAACAAGTCAAGGAATTGAAGGATGAACTGTCAAAGAAGAAGGACAGGAAACGCCGGTACTTTTGGTAGAGGTTGTACGAAGTATTGGCAGAATATCTGCCGTGGCCATCAAACCGGCCATCTACGGCAAAGACGTTGGAAAGAAAAAGAATTTTTTTTTTTAAAAAAAAAAAAAAAAAAAAATTCAGAGCCAGCCCTAGAAACGATATTTACTCTCTACGGCAACATATATCCCGGGTTTGATGACGGCTTTTCTTGCTTTTTCATTTATATCCTGTCTTCCAATTTCTTTTTAAATCTGGTTGCAATACACATCGCACATTGTACAATCGGATATTGAACTAGCCTAGCAATCACACATACCAATTTATACAGTACTGTTACTCCTACCGCGCTATGTATATCATTCCATGCAGGACTTAGCGCGTTTGGTTAGCAACTTCATCTTAAGGGTACCCACCCTGATTATGAACATGCCAGATTAACCTTAACAGGAATCGGTCAATCAATTCTATGCAACCAAGGAATCCCTTGCAGACGACCTGCAGAAAATCTGCAGAAGATTTGCAAATGCTCTCTCACTGATAACGAGAACTTGAGACAAGACTACAAGAGAAGAGGGTATATATTAATTCATTCCAGACATCAAGCATACAAACAGACAATAACAACCAGTGTCAGAACAACCAAGGAGACCAAGATCTAATAGATATATCTGAAGTGAAGATTCTCCTGGTCCGTGCGGTCCTCAAAAGCGTGGTCAAGGTTATCAGTTGTGCTAGGGTTAACCCCAGCCTCCTGCAACATGCGATCCTTCTTCTTATTCTGCGCCATTAGGTAGAAGCGCAGGAAACCCACGGCCAGGCACATGGCAGAGTAACATCCAAGATGGACGCCAAAGGCAATGAAGTAGCGGGGCGCGTCTTTGTCTAGAAAAACCTGAGGGCCTGATGACTCGAGTGTTAGCTTTGCTGATGGCTTTTATAGGGGTTCTTGGGTGCTTACCGATGGCGTTGCCGACAGCCCACGAGACAAAGGTGGCTGCGACTACAGTCGACTTCTTGGTTGCTCCTGCAATGTTCCGAGACACCATAGAGAGACAGAGACCCTGGGCGGACCAGAACGACAGAGTGATGTAGTAGCTGATGAGGAGACCGGCCTTTGTGGCCAAGTTCTTATTTTCGACTGTCATTAGGACAATGGTTCCGACAAAGGATCTGGCGAGCGTTAGTGATACTCCCTAGAAGGAAAGTGGACAGAATAATGGGACACATACGGGATCATAAAGCCCAGCATGACGAGCAGGTTCTGGTTCGTCTTCTTCACCAACCATGCAGACGACATCAGGACGATGATGATATAGGCACCCAACACCATAGCTAACAGCTGAGTCTGCAGTTCGGTGAAGTTGAAGCCTGTGATAATAATGTTTGCAAAGGAACCCAGACCACTGGTGGGAAGCGTCGTGAAAACCTGGATGGCACAGTAACACCACATTTGCGGATCACGGAAGGCTTCCCACATCTGGTATTTCCGGAACTGCTTGTTTTGCATACCGGTCTGGTTGGCACGGACACGCTCGACCATCAAATGCTTCTCTTCTTCGGTGAAGCACTTGGCCCGCATCGGTGAATCGGGCATCCAATAGAGAACGAAGAAGCCCCAGAGTACTGAAAGGCATCCGTATGCAATGAAAATCGCCTGCCATGAGTGAATGGCCTTGTCTTTACCGATCAAGCCGAAACAGTATGCTAGTAGACCACCGACAATTTGCTGACCTCCGTTCATCATGTACCTAGGCAAAGGTTAGATTCGAACCAGTAATGCCAGCTGCTTCCCTGGAGGAGCGATGTCAATTGATTAGGAGTTACCCACCAGTATGTGACCGTGGCAGCTTGTTCCTCTCTTTTATACCACATTCCCGAGAGGACCACAAATGACGGTTGGCAGACAGCCTCGAAGATACCCAAGAGGGTACGCACTGTGACTAGACCGGCAAAGTTGTGGCAAGCCGCGTGGAGTGCCAGAACCGAGCCCCAAAGGATGATATTGATACCCAGGTATTTGGCGATGGGAACTCGCTGGAGCATCCAGTTCGTTGGATACTCCACTATCAGGACAGCAATGTAGATACAGGTCGTCAACCAGGAGTACTTCGAAGGGAAGGTATGTCAGCATCAATTTTTCCCGCTCACGTTCTCACTTATTGTCCAGGGACACATACCTGCTGGCCGTGCAAGTTGGTATCCTCACGAATACCCATAATGGATGCAAAGGACATTGTACCTTTATCCAGGGCTTGTAGGAAATAGGTGATAATCATGATCACCAGCACGCGGCGATCGATCTTGCGCCGCAGTTTTCGATTGGTGGCTTCATCTATCTCTACCCGCCCGAGGTTTGCGTACTCCTGGAGCTCATTATCGACACGGGTATGGTCCACAGCATCCTTGTCACTGGGAGAAAGCACCCGCTCGACGTGAGAGATGTCTTTCTTCAGGTCGTTCATCTCAGTATTGGGAAGGGTGGCCTGGTGGACCTGGTGGTCACCCGCGGATGGGGGTCTTGCGTCTGTCATGGTGGAATATGCAAGAAGAAAATGAAGACGTGAGCCACCCCCTGCAGTATTTGGATGAGAGCTACTAGCAGGATGGGACGCGAGCAGTGTCAGAGAGGCCAGAAAATGCCAGGAGGGGCGCTGGGACCTTTTATCGCCAGCCCTCTCCACAGGCGTAATCTTCGATTATTATTATTCATTTTAAATTAATGGGGTATCTCTACGCGGCCAAGGATGAGTATACTACTACGGACTAGTTCTAATCCCAAGGACAACGAGTCATGCCGTATATTTCCCCAGTTTTGCAAGTTGGCCACCCCCGTGGGTCACTTTGTCTGGGGAAAAGGGTTATGCGGAGAGGAATAACCCGAGTTCCAAGCGAAGAGATCGGGCGAGTGCCGCCGGCCCACCGCAAAGCTTGGGACCCGTGCAATCCTCTCGTCAAATCAGCGAGGAGATCCAGAGAAACCGGTGTAATTTAGTTTCATTAAGTACGCCTCCTCGGTCGGCGTTGACCCGAAGCTAAAAGCATCCCACGGACAAAGTGGTGAGAGTTTCTCCGCGTATCATTTTGTGGATCCGCTTCGGTGAGCGTTATTAGGGCGCTTGGTCCGTTCACTCTGCCCTGCTCTTTCCTCTACACCTACTCGTATTTCCTTTTTCCCGTTAGGCAATTCAAAGTGTGTGTGTGTGTGTCTGTGCTTCATTATGTCGTCGTCGAATACTTCCCCTCCGCAGGTGCGTGAGACCGTCAATCGCCTCATTCATAATCTCGTCAACATCAAGGATGAGACCGGCCGATTCCTTATGCCGTTGGCAGACGGTCGCATCATCGACACCAAGTCCTGGCATGGCTGGGAATGGACGCACGGTATCGGTTTGTACGGTATCTGGAAATACTACGAAATGACCGGCGATCCTGAATTGTTGAAAATTATTGAAGACTGGTTTGCCGCCCGGTTTGCTGAGGGCGGCACCACTAAGAATATCAACACTATGGCCGTGTTTCTGACACTGGCCTACGTGTATGAGAAGACCGGCAACATCACCTATCTCCCCTGGCTCGACGCCTGGGCTGAATGGGCCATGCACGACTTGCCTCGGACGCGCTACGGCGGTCTGCAGCACGCCACCTACCTCACAGACAACTACCAGCAGCTCTGGGACGACACCTTGATGATGACCGTCATGCCCCTCGCAAAGATCGGAAAGCTCCTAAACCGCCCAGAGTATATCGCTGAAGCCAAGCGGCAATTCCTCCTCCACATTAAATACCTATTCGACACGAAGACCGGACTCTTTTACCACGGATGGACCTTCGAAGATGGCGGCCACAACTTCGCGCAGGCGCGATGGGCCCGCGGGAACAGCTGGATCACCATTGTCATCCCTGAATTCATTGAACTGCTCGAACTCGAGCCCACCGACCCTATTCGGGTCCATCTCATCGACACACTCGAAGCACAATGCGAGGCGCTCCAGCGTCTCCAGAACGAGTCTGGCTCCTGGCACACTCTCCTCGATCACCCAGACTCCTATGTCGAGTCATCTGCCACTGCCGGATTCGCATATGGTATTCTGAAGGCAGTGCGCAAGCGCTACATCTCCGCGGAATACAAGCCCGTTGCCGTAAAGGCGATCGCGGCTGTGGTCGGGCACGTGGATGCCGACGGCGAGTTGCAGAACACTAGTTTCGGTACGGGAATGGGAGACACTCTGCAGTTTTATAAGGATATTCCCCTCACGTCTATGCCGTATGGACAGGCCATGGCTATCATGGCTCTCGGTGAGCACTTGCGCGGGTTCCTGTGATGGGTTAGTGGTATGATGATCGTTTGTACATAGATGTGTCATGATAGATATAGACTTTTTATGATTATGAGGGCAGAATGAACCACTTCTGATCTGGAATTTACATTTTCTGGTGTAGTACGCCAAAGTCCTGATTGAGCGTCAGTCTAGTCGTCAGTATCTACTTTCTAATGGGCTTCAAACAGCCTGGATGATACCAGCGTATATATACAAAGAAACGGTAAACAATGAACGCGTGAAGGGTGTTGGGTGTGGGGTGAAATTCATTTGCTATGTCTGCAGGTTATATCTGCCGAAGCAAATGAGGCACAAACTACCTACTCAAAGAGCTAAATTACACGGTGGCTTTCCTGGATGTAGGAAAAGAATGATAAGGCTTATTGAGTCAATAACGTCATTAATTCCAGACTTTTATCCAACTAGTCTAGCGGCGAAGCTGATCTGCCTCGATATACACTTCAATAATGACAAATAGACAAAGAATAGATGTACTCAGTATTGCCAGGGATACCCACGTGATATCATGTTTGTATTGAAACATAGTATAGAATGACGTTAGAAGAAGCAAATTCCTTACCTAAAAGACGACGCACCGGGATACACGTAGTATAATATAAAAGGAGGGTTTTGGGTATCACTGGCAGAGTTACCTGCGTTATCACCGGTATCTAAATCTCGAATATAGGGAAAACCGTAGATATATTCTGGCAAATTGTTACTGTATAATACATGTTAAGCATAGGAAAGGGAAACCCCATGACATATCCTCCCACAAGCTCTAGAGAACCGAAACCTCCTCACCTCCCTTCAACCAACAGATCTTATCACTGATACCCTCGTCCTCAAAAGCCTGGCGCAGCTCAGTGCCGAATTGAGTGAAATGGCCCCAGGATTCATAGTGCATAGGAACAAGGACGTCAGCCTTGAGCGCACGGAATAGCTTAGCACCATCCTTGCCACCCATGGTGATCTGCATGGGGGGACCGTTAAGATCCTCCATGTTAGGAGCGTGAGCATTCCCCAAGTTCATCACGGCAGCGCAAATATGATACCGGTCCGCGATAGAGTCCAGTTCTTCGATGTAGACAGTATCACCCGTAAAGTAGATTGCGTTGGGGAGGCCGTCCTCGTGATGTCCAAAGTCTTCGCCGGTTACAATGAAGCCGGTACATTCGTTTCCAGGAACGTGCTTGGTCGGGGTCGCAATTATCTTGAATTTCTTGCCAGCGATAATGGTTTCAATCTCCTCCCAGGGCTGCATGCCGCGCACGGCGGGACGAGGAGCGAGGTTCTTGGCTCCGTCGACGGTGGTGAAGACGCGGCGTCCGTCTAGGAGTTGACGGCCCAGCTCGTCTAGGTTGTCGGGGTGGTCTTCGTGACTGAGGAGCACGGCATCGATCACAGGAAGCTGGTTCAGACGGAGGGCAGGATCCTCTGTTACCTTCAGGACTATAACGCCCCGGTCCCAGAAGGTACCGGCTGGAGAAAAGAACGGGTCCGTCAGGAAGTTGACGCCGTTGATCTCGAGGATGGCAGTGGCAGTGCCGATGTGGGTGACGTTAAGAGTGGGAGCCATGGTGTTAAAGGAACTGAGAAAGAAATAGGAGTAGATAGAGACTGATCAGAGTCACTTGTTTAAACTTGCGTAATGCACAACACTGCTTGGGGATTTGAATGAAGAATGATGAGGAGACTGATGGGCGGTGCCCGGTACTTATACCTCGAACGTGTACAGCAGTACAGTGAAGGGAATCACTAATTTGTAGGACATTATAAATCTAAATGATGTGAACCGTTTTAACTCTTCAATCAGCTCTAATCCACCGGCATCCCTCCTATCGGCATCCCGCCTTTCGGTATCCCTCCTCGGATCTCAGCCATAGATCCAACCGAATAGGAGTCGTCAGCTAGTAGCCCACCCACAAGGAGTGCCCCACACGGAGACATAATCCTCTGGCAACCAAATCCAATTAACATATTTCTAATAAGTAATAACTTAGCTGTTGATTAACTAAAAGTTTATTTTACGTTATCTAGAGCTAGGTGGGATGCGCCAATGCGGGATTACTAACATCGTGGTAACCCTAAACATACAGAGGCTACGACGGTGTCGCTCCTTCCATGATTTCGTCAGCAAAAGAAGCTGCTCAGCCATATTTAGAACTTCAAGTCTCAGAGCCCAATGACAAGTAGATATGGAATACTATGCAAGACCTGGCAAGCAGTAACGGCTGTTCCTGGTAGCTGGCACCAATGAGATAGTAGTATTTGCGGATGACCACCAAATTTATATACATCCATAGCATTAGAATAGCCATGTCTTATCACATAGATCAGTAAAGCTCAATCGGGGGTGAGATGTATTAATGTAATAATATAACATATTATCTCTATTTAGACAAAGGAGAGTATTACAAAACGACCTAAGAATCTGGATAGCAGCTTTCGGAAGAGCTCTGGTGGAGGTATTTTATGTTGCCGCCTGCATCCTCTCCATCGCCTGAATCATGGGACTTGCCTTACGAATTCTATGCCCGTAGAAGTAGAAAACACACGGAATGGAGATACACACAGTCTCCACAAGACCCAGCAAAGTACTGGCCCAGTTTAGCCCCAGCGCGTTATACATCGACGGTCCCGCAAGTGGCAGACAAGCGCCCATGATACTACGGAAGAACATATTCCCCGCCAGCGCAGAGGCAGTGTAAATACCGTACGAGCGGGCGACGTAGCTAGTGGCGTAAATGAAAACGCATGCATTTCCAGAACCGAACGGAACGCCGGCCAGGATGGGCACGATCCAATGGACATTTGGTGTACATGTCCAGGCGAACCAGAGCTGCCCCACGGCGAGGAGAATCGCGCCAAGAATAACAACGCTGACAATCGCCTCTGGAGATACCTCTCCAGTTTCCGGGTCCTTGCGGTGACTATTGATTGCTTTGCGGAGGAGAGGTTCGCATGCGATGGTGATCAGGACGCCGGATCCGATGCCAATGAATGAGAGGCCCCCAATGCCAGGCGACCAGCCACGTTCTGTCTGAAAGGCGATGGGGTAGGCAACGAAACACAGGTAGAGAATACCGTAGACGATTGCGATATAGCTGTCCCAGAATATGCTACAAGGGGTTAATATTGGGTTAGGCATGTTTGTACAGACACAGGGGATTAAGAACAGGATGCTTACCAGATTGGCTCAGTCACAAGCATGACAAACGGCCGGCTAAGACCGGTTTTAAGCCGTCTCGACAAATCCTCTCCACCATCATAGCGTGTCCACCACTTGGGATCTCCTGTTTCTTTCCGGAGCCTTGCTGCTCGCTTTTGGAGGATCACCGGAGGATATGTTTCCTTGATTAAGCACATCAAGACAAGAACTACACCACCAATAATCAGAACAATCCAGTTCGTCCACCTCCAGCCCAGATACTCGAAAACAAAGCCGCCAATTATCGGGCCGTAGACAGGACCGTTTGTAGGACCAATCGACCAGATACCAAACGCAAGGGCGCGGTGTTTATCAGAGACAATATCATTCACCGAGGCAGGGGAGTTGCCCATAATCGCGCTGCCGAAAAGACCTCCGAAGAACCTGCCAATCAGGATCGCTTCCATATTACGAGCCAAAGCGCTCGGAAGAATTAGCAAGAGAAATATGGTCATGGAGACTAAGTAAACCGGTCGTCGACCGACTACTTCGCTCAATGGGGCGGATACAATGGTTCCCACGCCCATGCCGAGAAGGTAAGTAAAGACACCGAAAAGACCGACAATTTTCGATATGTGGAACTCATCCTCCAGGCCCGGGATTCCTGAAGTGTATAAAGTGCTGAAAAGACTGACCACCGTCGCCCCAAGACTCATGGTCACAATACTGACACCTTTGTACCATAACGGCCAGAGATGAGGGTTTTCGGGATCCTCAGGTTCCCAGTAGACCTCATATTCCGAAGGATTTTGCAAGCTTGGTAGCTTGGAGACAGTGGGCTCAAGTGTCTGAGTAGTGTAGCCTTCTGCATCTGCCGTATAGCTTCGAGTCAGCTCAGGCTCGTTAACGAACATGCCCGCTGCGTCGGAGTGGCATAAAGAACCCATAACCGTCGGTCTCTTTCACCAAACCAAGTCACGCGGTATTCAAAAGATAAAACGAGATAGTTTGACCAATTTTTAACTAGAATTCAAAAATATGAAAGTACAAGCAGAAAAATGACTTATACCTCCTATATAGTTTTACCGAGAGGGATTGACCGAGCGGGATGCCGACTGCTCATGGGGCTTAGTAAACCAAAGGGAAAAGGTTGATGAGGGAACTCGCCACTCGGCATCCCTCTCTCAGCGATATGCTCATCTCTTCTCCGTATATCGCAAAAGATGCCACGACATACGTACGCCACAATGCCGCCACGCTCCCATGCTAGCCCTGCGAAACCATCCTTTCAATGCGAATTCCCGGGATGTAGTATGACTTATCAACGGAAAGAACACTTAAACCGACACATGGCAAATCATGAGCAAGGGGCGCGCTTCTCCTGTCCGTACTGCGATAGTACCCTGGCTAGAAGGAATGTCCCATGATGATCGTTGCTGTGAGCTAATGTAATAACTAACTATTATTCAGCGATCTCCTACGTCGCCATATCCGGAACTATCACCCAGAGAGAGAGCCTCCGCAGTCTCGGGCGCGGCAAGCTTGCGAAGCCTGCCATGCTCGAAAGGAACGTTGTGACGGTGGATACCCATGCAATCGATGTCAGCAGCGAGGGGTTACCTGTCCACGGCCTCGGGAGGCGGCTCATGGCAAAAGCAAACCTCAAGAGATACAAACGCGCTTGAACCCGGACATAGTGCGTTCGGTGCCTGGCGAATCTCGGTGGATCGCTCAGGACTTCATTGATATTTACTTTCACGACTTTCATCCAACTTGGCCGTTCCTGCATCGGGGGACATTTGAACTCTCGAAAGAGCCGTGTATACTTCTCCAATCAATGTTAATGATTGGGTTGTGGATCAAAGGCGACCAAGCGGCACGGGACACAGCGATGACTTTCCATCGTAATTTGCTTTCTGCAATTCAAGCTCAAAGGGTGTGAACTAGTGGCCCTGACCACACAGGTGAACGTTCTGCTGACGTCCTCTGTCCCACAGTGTCAATGGTATATATCGGACTCGACGCCGCATTGCAGCAATGACACCCCCTGGCCGATGGCGACCTACCAAAGTATTCTTCTACAGCTGATATTCGCTGTACTTGTTGCCAAACAAGAGACCTCTCTTGACTTAAACCTCCGTTTTCAACTAGAGGACCCCAAATATGAACTCCTCACGGCACTCGTGGAAACCTGTCGCCGGCTCGGTTTGTTTTACTACCCGCATATGCTTGCTAGGTATCACTCCTCTGCCCCGATAGCGCTCGTATGGGTGAACGTGGAGGAAATCAAGCGTTTCGGATTGTCGCTATATAAGCTCTGTCGACTCTGTACTCGGAGTGCCTCGGCGGACACGGCCGTCAAGGATGCCAGTGATCCGAGACGTGAGCTTCTAAGTCTGGCGGACCTAGACTTTTGCATGCCGGATAGCGACGAATTGTGGAACGCTCCGTCCAGTACCGGAGCTGAACTAATCCGAAGTACTGCTTTTCAACGGGCATGCAGGGATAATAGAGATCCAGATAACTGGATATCCCAGACATCAGGGAAATTGTGCGATTCTCGTGTCAGTCTTGACTGGATATAACTCGCTAGGCCAATTGAAATCATAACTGCTCGTCATTCCCACTTGCTAAAGCTAGCATAAACATAAGAAAAAAAAATACTATCTTGAACGCACGGCTCGGAGAAGGCCGGGATGCGCTTGACAAGACTGAAAATTAAAAGGAGCAGACAAATCTGAAATTCAAACAGTATTCTATAATCTTTCAATCGGCCTAGGATCAAAGCTCTAGGCTCAAGGTATCATGGGTAATTTGGCAAACAATCCAGACTCATACAACGCAATGACAGCTTGCGTCTCAAGGTAGTAATGTAAAAATCAAGTTTCAACTTAAGGACAAGCTGTGACCCCCACGATTTCAGCTTTAACTTCAAAGCTACCAGCTTTCGGGGCCGGATGGCCAAGGTCGCGTCCAACCCGGATATTTTCGATGGTGGTCCCCACAAGCTTCATGTCAATGAGACGAACTATTCTCGCTAGTGTCAAGTAGAGCTCGGCATAAGCCAAACTGGCCACTGTTAGTCTAGAGATAAGGCAACGGGAAAGTAAAAGAAACAAACGTACTTCAGTCCTAGACATTGCCTGCTTCCCTTGGAAAACGCAACAAGGAATCTGTTCAGATACTGTCCATTTTCAGCGGCTTTGATCCATCGCTCAGGGTTAAACGATTCCGGTTCAGGGTAAACCTGAGGATTCATATGAACGAAGTAGGCTGACTGGCTTAGTGGTGTCTGATACACGAACGATGTTAGCAATTAACAAACTTCATCACAGCGTCGTGTTGCCTACTTACGCCAGGTGGAATCACGTATTCACCATACGTTAATGACTCGATAGGTGCCACGCGAGGAGACCGAGCCACCAGCCCATACGAGAGCCGAAGGGACTCATTAACCACTCCACTCTAGCAGTGTTCAATTAGCAATGAGCAATGAGCAACATCATAGATAGCACATTCATACCAAATACGGCAATTGTTCCAGCTCAGCCCAGGTTGGTCGACTGGTCGGAGCAGGCATGACTTGGTTGAGCTCGTCGCGTAGCTTACATCGCATAGTCTCGTCATTGGTCAAATGAAACATGGCGACGGTTAAGGCTCTTGCGGTAGTCTCAATTCCAGCACCGAAGAGAGCCGCGCCCTCTTCTTCAAGTCGACGTAGCGTCTTCTCTTGCGGTGCGACATCGGCGGCTGCTATAGCATCAAACACGTTTTTAGAGAGCATGTCACTGTCATGCGATAACCACACCTTGTCAAGAGACTTCGCCGCCTGTCGACGAATCAGGTTCCTCACCCCAATTACATCGGCCATCTGAAGGCCCAACTTCTCCATAAGCCCGATCGGCACGCAGCGAAGGAGCTTGGGTAAGACAGGGAAAAACTTGTTGATATGGCACATAGACATGACATAATTGACCGCATCGATCATCTGATTTTGGAAGACCTTCTGTTCCAGATATCCTTGGCTCGCCCCGTAGCAGTACTCTGAGACGATATCCGCCGCGAGAGCCGCAAAAACACGTTGCAGGGGCAAAACTGCATGATCTTCAAAGGCGGAGCGGAAGCGTACCATCAAACGGTCGACTTTCTGGTCAATGATCGATTCGGCCTTTTTCAAGGCTCTTCTGGAAAAGTAGCTGCTCAAGAGACCGCGGCGAACCCGGTGATGTTCATGACCAACCGTTGCAACCATAGGCAAGGGTGTCGTGAACACGCCGATGAATCTGGGATCCTTTTCTCGGACCCGCGAGCTACCAGTATAAATTTGTTCGTAGTAATAAGGGTCATTGATGTGGAGTTCACGGGGATTGATCCGTACGACTGGCCCTTCGGGGTTGTTAGCAAAACAGAGACATTATAAGACGCTGGGTACCACCTGGCCCTTTTACCATATTTCTGATGTAGCTGCTCAATCTTAAAGAGATAAGAGCCATTGCAAATCACATCGTAGTAGAACTCGTACAGATAAGAAATAGCCGCTAGTTTAGGGCCTGGAAACTTGCGAAGAGGGTGGAAGAACAGACGGTAGACAGTCTGAATAGTAAAGCCCACCAAAAGCGAGAATAAGCAAAGGCTCCCCGCGGAAATTGTAAATTCATGCATTGCTTTTTCTTTTGCAGCATTGAATGGCCTCTGTAGTGGGCGGTACAAAGCACACAAAGGTGTGAAGCAAGAACCTAACGCAGATCTCAACGTTCAGTGGGGGGTTTTCAAGATATATGCTGCCTTCAGTATCTGGTTTGCTGGAGGAGCAGCGGCTCATTTTTGCTTTGATAAGTTTCTATTAATTTGCTAGTTGGAAGGTAACAACCGAGAGATAGAGAAACTAGTACTGGAGTGGGTTCCAAACAATGATATGGTGGTTTGTACGTAAATTACACGCGGCACAGAGCAAACCAGAAGCTCCACTCAGTGTGGCGATCAAGATCTATAAATTACTGACTGGAAGTTAAATTGCTTGAAGAATTCAATCACCTGTGGTACGTAATAATGGAAAAATTACCAGGTACGTAAATGTATTTTAAATCAATGGTGGTCAGTAAAAAGTTACTTCAACCCCGTCCCTTCACGATAGATCTGCCTACAACCTGGCTTCCCAATTGCAATCTAACGACCATGTCTGATTTCACCACGATTCTGGGATTAAGCGCGGTCGCCATTCTCGGGTTCTTCGTCCTGTTTACTCAACACGCGAAACTGGATCCCCGCGAGCCACCTCTGGTTCCAAGCACAATCCCACTGGTTGGCCACCTGATCTCCTTTCTCATCCATGGAATTGAATACTTCGCTGCAGAAAGGTATTGAGGGGATTCCCATTGAAGAACAAACGTAGCTTGCTAAACAATTTAGTGGTAAACACTCTCTGCCGGTTTTCACCATGAAAATTCTCAAGGAAAAAGTGTATATCATCACATCTCCAGACTTACTCCCTTCCGTGCGGCATAACCGCAGCTCCATGTCATTCAACCCGCTCTTCACAGCCATGGCAGAACGGGCTGGGGGTATTCGAAAGCCTGGTCTGCAGCTTCTTCGAGAGGAAGAACTGGGGGGCCAGGGCCTTGCGAAGAAAACGGTGGAAGTGATGCGCCCTGCACTGCTCGGCAATAAACTGGACCATCTCAATGAGCAGATGATCCATGTCGTCAGACAGATTGTCGATCAAGTAGTTTCGATTCCTACTGGTTCATTGGACTTATATGAATGGTGTAGCGAGGCACTCACGCTTGCCAGTACAGATGCAATCTACGGCCCTTCGAATCCTTATAAATCTGAATCTATCAGAAAGGCCTTCTGGTATTTATGGCTCCTTGGGTCCGCTTTTGATTGCCTTATTTCTCAATATTAATGATGTATAGGAATTTTGAGTCAAATCTAAGCCTGCTACTCGTCAACACCCTTCCCTGGCTGACTTGCCGAAAAGCATGGAAAGACAGAGAACAGCTGGTGCAGGCTTTTCTTCAGTTCTACCAAGCGGATGGTCATCTTTCTTCATCTCCTTTAGCCTACTCTCGATGGGAGGTTCAGCAAGAGGCCGGCGCAACCCTGGAGGACATCGCAAGATTAGAGATACTTACCGGAATTGGAATCCTTTCCAACACGGTCCCAAGCTGTTTTTGGCTGCTTTTTGATATACTATCTCGCCCTGAGCTATTACGCACGATACAGGATGAGATTCATCAGAATGCGGTCTCTATCGACTCCACAGGAATCCATACGCTTGACTTGGCAGATATCCGGGGAAAGTGCCCGACGCTCCTCTCGTCATTCCAGGAGACCCTTCGAACGCGTTCTAACTCCGGCCAGGTCCGCGTGATCTATCAAGATACATTATTGAATGATCGCTGGCTCCTGAAGGCCGGTTCAACTCTCCTAATTCCTGCGCCAACCATCAACAAAAATAGCTCAACGTGGGGATTGGACTCCGGGGACTTCAACTCCCAGCGCTTTACCAAGACCGCTTTGCAAACGGACAAGAAATCCAAGGCATCTGGCTTTTTATCCTTTGGATTATCTCCCCATATCTGCGCTGGGCGCCATTTTGCAACAGGAGAGATCTTGGCTCTCGTTGCGTTACTTCTTGTGCGATATGACATTCGTCCCATTCACGGCTCTTGGACCGAGCCCAAAACGAATGCGAAGGCCGTCGCTGCATCGCTTCCCCCCGCAGCTGAAAGGTTTGAGGTAACTGCCGTCGAGAGACCGGAATATAAGGGGGTGGCATGGAGGACGACTGTCACCCCTGGAAAGGGGACATATGGCCTGATAATTGGATAATCATCCTCTATACAGGACAATTGGTCATCCGTGGAAGGGAGCAAACTAAGGCAAAGTATGGTGGGCGATTCAACAGTCTTTTTATATCCAACCTTGATATCCTCAACTGTCCCGTGGCTGAGAGAAAGCATTAGCGCTTTGTATGGTACTCTCCCTCGCCCGCTGTTGACATGCTACAGACATAGAAAGAGTATAGAGAACATGATATATATTATTCAAGGTCACAGTTTGGAATACTCAACGCATCAGTAATTGTTGAACTGTTCATAGGTAGTTCACTGTGGTTTTCATACCTGAACGATACTAGTAAATTACGGACGAAAAACACCACTTTCACATCAATTTTTTTTGAAACTCTTTTTTTTATTTTTTATTTTATTTTTCTTTTATTTTGTTTTTTTTTTTTTTTTTTTTTTTTTTTTTTTTTTTTTTTTTTTTTTTTTTTTTTTTTTTTTTTTTTTTTTTTTTTTTTTTTTTTTTTTTTTTTTTTATTGGG